ACCACATATCTTCCACATCTGGCACAGTGCCAGCTGTTATGCACTGTCTCAGAGGATATTAGACATCATCGCTGTACATGGGCATATTCGGGCCTTGGAACCCAAGTATGGCCAGATTTATTTTTGCCATGTGCCTACCCCAAATTGAATACCATACAAATATATGAATTGATGAAATTGTGTGTATGTATTAAATGATTTACACAAGCAGCAGTAAAAGCAGACATGACATCAGCCAATTAAATTTGTGCTTTCTTGTCAGATCCTCTGTTGCAGGAAAAAGACAAATGTCCAATTTGAAGTGCACGAAGACTGGACCCGACCTGCTTATAAAAGAGAAGGTACGAGGCCACGCCGGATCTCGACGTGAGAAGGCCGCCTGAAACCGGGTCAGGCATCCTCTGGACTTGCTCATAATCAGAACAAACCTGAATGGACCCTTTGCCAAAAAGGCTTCCACTGCCTCCAAACAGCATCTTGAAATCTACTTTTCCATCCCCTCCCTCTCTCTCCTGCTTTTTGTCCTCTGACCCCTCATCATGGCTGTCAGGCGCACCAATGCTATCTCCTTCCAGACTCTCTTGACTAACCTCTTCGCCACTGCACATACCTGAGTCAAGACTCTGGAGCCTGAAGCGCTCGACCGGCGGTTTCTCATAGTCTGAAATGACCTGCACTGGCTCACTGTTGTTGTTGCCTTTGGAAAGCAACTGCTGGATCTCCAGTTCTTTCTTTCTTTCTTCCTCCCTAACCTCTTCTGCAGTTTTACCATCACCCTGACTACCAACAGACCCATTAGGTGTATCAGCGGCACAGGGCTCCACATTCCCTGTGGTGGACGAGGAGACCGGAGGAGGAGCACACAGGTGGGAGTAACTGGGATTGGAGAAGCTGGAACTGGTCGACTCATAGCCGTTCTCGCTTTTCATCTTCTCCAGCAGTGCCGCCTCTTTCTTGCACCGTGTCACAGCATCCACACTGGAGGTTACCTCTACAGAGATGATATCCTCCGGTTTCAAGGAGAGAAAGAGTTCGCTGGTCGAGTGAGGGCTCAACTTATTCTGGAGGAGTAAAGATAAGAGGTGGGGGAGCGAGAGCAGGAATTGGAAAGATTAAAAATAAAGAATAATGATGATTCGTTTTTCTGTCTGGTTTCACATCTTACGTTGGCTGTAAATCTTGCTGTTTCATGTCATGATGTTCTCTAGTGTGCCACAGTTAAAACTGCACCAACTGATATGTTCATATTAACAGCAGATCAGATGATAATGTGTAATGTCAGAGCATGTGATGATAGTGACGAACCTGCAGAGAACTGTACAGTTCCCCTCAGCTTTATGGAGCATTTTAGCGCCTTTCAGCTCATTGTTTTGGTTTTCTGATTTGCAAATTTAGAGACAAATTTTGGTTCACTCTCATTGCTATTATTGCAGCAGTCAGGTGTTTTCAGGATAGAAAACTCTGGTAAGCCTTAAAGAGCTGTTACCGACTGAACGGAGAAGAAAATTGAACATCTAGCTCAAGAGTCAGATGCTTTTCAAAGAAGTTGGTTGACACCAAAACAGAGCAAAACTGTGATTATTTGACATACAGTATATGTGACCTAGATGTGTAGGTCTGTGTTAATGCTACTGATGCACTTTGTCTCCTAAATGCTGCTTGTGCCTACAACTTACAGCAGCTTTAATATGTTGTAATTGGCAACACATTAAAACAAGTGATGAAAAATCAGAAAAATATTTCATAGGTTCACCTGGAAATTCATATTCTTCAGGGAGGATTTTCTTGGGTCTGGTATGGGCGAACCTTTGATCTTCTTGTAAACCCTAAAAGACAAAATAACATAAACTTTAATCAGAGCTGTCGGATAAAACCTATTTTTCTTGAACACAAAAGACCAGAATAGAAATATCTCTTGTCTTCTCACCAGGTGCCTTTGTCATTCCTCAAGAGTATGACAGCCAGAAAGAAGGCAAACCCTGCGCCTGCGATGATCATGCCCCATATCTTCGCGGCAACACCTGACAAACACAGGACGGAGCACGTCACCCAGATTAGCTAAGAGGTAAACATTCTGTATTTATACCACTGTAAATGACAAATGTGGGTTTTATTCATTCAAAATGCAAATAAGCTTATTTTCCATGTGATATAAGATAAACATCTGTTCCTGTTTGAACATGTATTGTTCATCCAACTGGTTTCCTTCTCAGGAATTTAAAGCAGAGCCATGAATAAATCTCCAGATGTAAAAGCATGTGGTATTGGTAAAATGTTGCTTTTCACTGATCACATTTGTTAAACTAAACCAATTAATTTTGTTCATATTTAACAACATTTACCTGATAGTGGTGGTGGTTTTGGTCTACCTTCAAGTGACTCCCATGATGCAGTGGGGCTCCAGTCACTCCAGGTTGATCTGACCCGGTTTTCAGCGGCCTTCACTCGAACGCGTGCCTCGTACCTCTCTCCTTTTATAAGCAGGTCGGGGTCCAGCTCTGTCTTGCACTTCAAATTGGACACTTTGTCTTTTTCCTGCACAGAGGGATCCTGACAAAGAAGACACAAATTTAATTGGCTGATTGTCATGTCTGTTCTTTTACTGCTGCTTGTGTAAATCATTTAACATACATACACACTAATTTCATCAATTCATATATTTCATGTATTCAATTTGGGGTAGGCACATGGCAAAAATAAATCTGGCCCATACTTGGGTTCCAAGGCCCGAATATGGCCCATGTACAGCATGATTGTCTAATATCTCTGAGACCAGAGCATAACAGCTGGACTGTGCCCAGATGTGGAAGTATGTGGGCCAGACTTGGGCCTAAGACCAGCATATTGTAATTCAAGTGGTCTGAGAGCAAACTAGATGTCTGCACTTCCTCTCGATTTTTTTTTTTCAGGCTTTAGAAAATCTAGCACGTGATGGACCAATCACAGATCTTTTCAGAGAGAGAGAGCATTCATTGGCTGCTCCATAAATGTTTGTGCACATCCCCTCAGATGGAAATGTGCGTCATTATTGGGGAAGCGTTTCATTGATGGAGAGAAATGGCTGTACTTCTTCCGTACAGGTAACAGGCTGCTATCATCATTCTCCTCATAAATAATTATGTTGTAGTAGTTGGTTGTGTTGATAGATTAAAAGCAGGTGATGAGTGGCGATGTTGAATGTTGCTAATAGTTTAGCCTTCTGCTAACCATAGCCAGAGGCTCACAGCTATGGCTGTGTTACTTCTTTTCTTTTCTTTTCTTTTCTTTTCTTTTCTTTTCTTTTCTTTTCTTTTCTTTTCTTTTCTTTTCCTTTCTTTTCTTTTCTTTTCTTTTCTTTTCTAGATTTCTGTGTAGCCCAGTTTGAACACACACACAAAATGTATACACACACTCCATGACTGATCCTCTGTTTTCCACTGCAGCTGGGAGGCGTAAAGGTCGAGTCTCGAATGGGGTGCAACTTGGGGAAACCAGGAAATGGTGGTAAAGTTGATATCTGGTTTTCCTGGACGATTCAGCTTTACTGCAGGATCACACAAATATAGTTTGTTTAAGTTCCCAATGAATATCTCACAAGTTATGTCACAAAAGGTCAATATATCATTCAGTATACTCACTGTGGCAAACTGGCTTGTAGGAAATTGTCAAAATTTTCTCCGCATCCTTACAGCTCAGATCAATGGACAATACATGGAACTCCTGAAACTGAGAAAATATGAAGAAAACAATATTGCTCTTAGAAAACATTCATAAAACAATACAAAATAAAATAAGATATATAGCCAATGATAATGCTTGATTTAAGACTAGAGATAGAGAGAGTTACATAGACTTCTCAGACTCACAATGCTATCTTTGTGGAAGTACAGGGAGCACTTCTTTAGCGCTGGTCTGGAGATGTCAACAGGCTCTAGGTTACAGAAAGAGTAATATTCACGTTTCCTGAAAAAAAAAAAAAAGTCATGTTCAATTTCATTTTACTGCTTTTGTGCACATACAGTATATTTGCATCTGCTGTAAGTACATGACTAGTTTTTCTTTTACTGACTGCTGTCCTTACTTGATCGAAGTCTTCCTTTTAGCGTGTAGTGTGCACACAGCATCTGTGTGGTCGTATGCACTGTTCCACACACAAGTGATGTTACGATTGTAGTCATTGTAGCAGGTGAGATCTGTGAGAAATAATAAGACAGAGGTGAAATGTCAAGTTTTGTGTCATTTTTCAGAAGATGTTGAAATCAATTATGCAACACAAAATAACGATATAAATCAAGTTATCAAAAAAAAAAATCACAAACTTTTATCTGGGTGGCTCGGACAGTCTGCAACGTCCATTCTGACAGTGCAGACATGAAGCAGAGCTAGAAGTAGAAACAGGAGAGGGCTTTTCTTGTTTCTCTCCATTTATCGTGTCATCAGTTGTTTTTCTTTTCTGGGAGAAATCAAATCTTCAGGATGGTTGGTTTCCAAAGCCGGTTGACTGCTTCAAGGTGTAACTCATTGCTTTCCCCCTCTTCTCATCCTGGGCAGATGGAAAGATGCAGCTGTCGACAAAATGTAGAGGAATGACACACAGTATTGCTCTGCTTCTTTATTTAGTATCAATGGCCTGTTGTTTGTCAGTTTTTATCTGCACAGCCCAAAAATACCCCTGACCACAAATATGCCGAGAAACAGTAGTGACACCAACAGGTGATGGCAAAAGCAGAAATAGAAATGTTTCACATCCTGTGTGCTCTGGTTCCACATACACAGACTGAAAAACACCTGTTAGGATGTGACAGATTAATAATGAAATGTTATGCAGAGGAAATTCTCTGTTAACTCAGGCGTCAGACCCATGTTGGAGTCAACACACATTTAACTTTTATCTGATTTTATTTATTTCATTGACCTATAGATTGAAAACAGCATCTACCTAGGTGGGATCCGGAGCCCTGCTTCACAGCACTTTGATCCACTGTGCTTAGATTTATAAAGTGTGTTTTGCTGCCCTCCATACTTAGGTTTGTCAAACCTGCTTCACCCAGCACCTAATTGTTACAATGTGAGAAGTTGAACCACTGGATGTCATCAAAACAGGATTAGATTCTCAGCGGGTGTGTAGTTATTCTTTGATCACTGGAAGTCTATTCTTGACTTTTGGCAGCAGTAGACATACTAAAGTAATCACTTTATATCATCTTAACTAACTGCATGGCTTTAAGTGGGGCAAAATTCCACTCTGCGTTCCATACTAACCACCTACCCTGACATACCTACTACGCTTTACTTAATGTGCATGTATCCTGTCACCTCCACGCTTCTGCTATTACAGGATCTGACTGGAAACAAGGGCAGTTAATCAAATTACTTTTTTTTTTTTTTTTTTTCAAAATTGAATTTTTGTCTCCCTAATATCTGTCCTGTTGCTGTCAGCTGCTGAAATCAAGAAGAGAGAAGATCTAAGATGATAAAAAAAAAAGTTGATTTGCTCAAAGCAATAAGCTTAAACAGCAAGTAATTTAATCTAGACTTTTTACCCTGGGTTTTGCCTCTCAGGCTACATAGAGGTTTCCCTGCCGAGTAAAGGCTGTTGGCGCTGTACACAGCCTAAAGGAAAGACTACTTTCATCTCCTCCAATCCACAAAGAAAACTAAACAAAACTAAAAACTAAACATATGGTACGGTGAGTCCCAGCAGTTGACAACTGAAGAATGCCACAGTTAATGAACAACATTGTATATTTATTAGATGTGGGTGTAGAGCTCTGCTAATGACTAATTGATGAAACTGAACAACCTACTGTGAAACAAACAGAAAAAGAACAGGAAAATACCCCCATGTTTAAACAGAGCAGCCCACCTGTTTAGGTATCACATCTTATCTTACCACTTAGTGACATGAAACTGTGTGATATGTCGCCGCTTGCATGTTTTGATATTGACACACTTAATCTAAGAAATAAACATGAAATATGAAGTCAACAAAGACCTCGCTTTAGTATCTTACCTGTTGGTGAAGCTGTTCAGGATCTGCTTCAAAGCACTGGTTTCATTCCACTTGATGCCCTGTAAGAGAACATCTTATGAATAAAGTTTTTCCTTAGAGGAAATGGCAAACAGCCACCCCCATAAAACAAAGAAATATAGACGATAATAGTTGTACTCTGAAGGGTTATTGAGAAAGTGAATCATCATTCAAGATCAGTCTTTCATAACTTTGCATCCGCCCCCACACTTAAACTCGATGGTGTAAAATTAAGTTTTTGTGGTTAAGCATTTTAACCCTTCAGAGCAATTCCTCTTTTATTTGCCTTTGACTAATAAATTGCTGCATATCTTAATGGCTTTACTTGTTGTGCAGCTGTTTCTATAACTAGAAACAATGGGGAAAAATAATAAATCCACAATGCAGTCTCGACACAGGTAGACACTTGCTACTTTGGTGTGAATACAGTCTGATGTGTGTCTCTCATCTTTTTCCCAGTAGCTATCTATCTATGTACACCACAATGACATTTAAACACTGTCAAAAACAGGATGAAAAATAACTGTGTGTGTGTGTGTGTGTGTGTGTGTGTTTGTGTGTGTGTGTGTGTGTGTGTGTGTGTGTGTGTGTGTGTGTGTGTCTGTGTGCTTCATGTAGGATTCGTGGTAAGTGGTTATTGCAGCCCACTGCAAACTAAACCACAAACACCCACAGCCCCAAATACAAAAACTGTCACTTTGCACAATAACACTACACTATAACACTACAATATCTTATCTTAATATATTTATCTTTTTAAAGATCTTTAGCATTTAATAGAATATATTTCTATTAAAGCAAAGATTTCTTTTTTTTACATTGTGCATACAACATTTATGTTAACAAAATTTTTTTCTTTTTCCATTTCCGTGCACAGGCGAACGTGGAAGTTTTTACTGCCTCCCCCGGTCACCTGTTTATGCAATTTAATAAAGGTCAGAGTGTTTTTTCTGAGAACCAAAATGTTCCATTATTGTGACAGGTGCACTTCCTGTTCTCAAAACGACATTAATCAGATTGCAAGTCATGACCTCCTTATAATAATTAGCTTGTGTACCTTCCCAGTTGTAAACTTTATAGGAAGCAAGCAAATGTGTCAGTAGCCAGGAAGACATATTTAACAAGTCCACTTTTATCTTTGCTATGGATAAGCGTTAAAAAAGTTCTCTCTTGTTAAAAAGGTGAGAAAAGGGAAGATGAATTGATTAGATCCTCTTAAAGTCACAGTATGTATTAGATTCAGGCCTCTCTCTATTGTAAATGCTGCTTATAAGGGTCAAAATACTTAAGTCCAGTATCAATAACAGTAGTTCTTTGTAGTTTCTGTAACAGAAAGTACAACTGTAACATCAAGTCCATCCTATTGTACAGTTCTTGGTGTCTCAGATGTTCCTCAGTGGGTGCTTGAGAAAGCAATGTGGCATCTTGTGGCAGAACAAGATCAAAACCCCGAAATTTTAAAGAAAAAATGGCAGTTCACACCCCAAAGGTTGCATTTAGATGGAATCCTCAGACAATCTAGCCAAGATATACATAACATGTCAAAGATAATGAAAAATGGAGTAATGTTATTGTGGTGACAAGGAGTACTAACTGCCTCGATAACAGATTACATATGATTGGATTATATTAAAAGTTATACAGGCATCACTGCCACCAGATGTTGACCAGCATCTCAAAACCAAAACAAGTGCTTCGTCTGCCACACCTCCGGCCTCAGTTCTAGTATAAGCGGTCATAAAACACAGCAAAAAGACCAACTGAATAAAGTTACCCGGCATACATGAGAGCCAACAATAAACAATTTAGCCACAACCAGTCCACGGTTGCGTTGCCGTGATATGCTCCTCAGCAATGCTAGCCGGTTCAAAAGCCAGTTCCGAGTCAAGCTAGAGCTCCTTAGCAGCTTGTAGGAATCTCCATCTTGGGAAATCCAGACCAGTATTGGCTCCACAGTCAGACTGGGAAAGAAATTCATCCTTACTTATCCGCTGGGACTGGCCTCATGAATGACACTGACGGAGCTGGCAAAGACAGGTAGAAACTTTATGGATTTTTTGACTGGCCACCAGCCGACTGGGCCTTTTCAGCCAAAAAAAAGTGGTTTCTTCAGTGGAGAAAAATTTGGAAGGTCGCTTTTACCTCAACGCTGCGTACTGCACTGTGCCATGTTATGTGTGGGTGCTGCCTGTGTGTCTATAAATGTGGGGAGGATCAACAGTTTAACAGGGGGGACTAACACGTACACACTGCTGCACCAGCGACCAAAACAAAGAACAGAGACACCCACATTACAACATAAACAGGGGGTGTGCCTTCGTTCTCTGTTCGAGACGCAATTACTCCACTAAATCTTTGCATAGAAAATAGTTGTTTGCTGTTATATTATTGTTTAAATTCTCATTTACAGAACTTTTAATATTATTACAAGATCTTTGATGTGAGTGTATCCATCATGTTATGGTTGAGCAACAGTTTCATATACCTTGTGAACTGGTTCACAGCAGTGGTTAAAACTTAGTGGAAGCTTCTTTGAGGTTTCCTGTTGCACAATTTCTAATGATACATACCTATGAATCAGACATTAGCATTTGCCACAGCAATGCATAGTCTAAAATACATTTCTGTATAACTTGAAAACTGAAGGATGACGCTAATTCAAGATGTAGCTTAAACATGTGTATGTCCTGAAATCCACTGAAATCTGTTCCAACTTGTAAATTACAATTAAACCTCAAGTGTCCACAGTCACATCCAAAGTCACTTTGTTGACCAACAAAAAAAAATCTTATCTCAAAGGAGGAATGCACCACTTGTGTCAAAAAGTCAATATACTAGCCGAAGAGAAACCATGTGAAAACCATGCCCTGGAGGAGCTTTGTATAGACAAACAAATCAAACCGGGCACATGGAGTTTGATGTGTACAGAAAGAGTCTTGATAAAAGACACAATCAAGTACCATAATGGGAAGTGTAGGATCCTGGATCCAAACCAAGAATTAAAAATCTCAGCTCCTACTTTGTCAGTTTTGACCATTCCTTTATGAATCTGCTTCTTGCAAGTTCAATGGACCTTAATGGTGGTGCAATTCTAAATTGCTCAATTTCGCCTTTAACGTCATTTCAAAGTGGTAGCCTCCTGTTTTGGGGCAGTTTCTGTGCTCTGAATCTGATGGCTAAATGCTAATGCTGCAAGCTTTCCATTCTAATCAGATATCTGCCGAGACGTGTTGACTATAACTTACTAACTTGTCAGTAGGCTTTTGCTCAGTCTCATAATATAATGCTGACTACAGTCAGAATTGTTCTGCTTTGGTGAGAATATGTAGCTGTTGTGTAGTCAAATCAAGTCTGATTTCATGAGATTAATGACACCATTCAAAGTCATGCTGTGGAGTCCACCACCTACCTTCCCTGCATTTCTTAAATGACCATTAGAAATTTGACTCAGTTCGGTTGACCACATCATGTAACTATCAACTTCATAGTGGGAAAATCCTCACTGCTAGTTCTTGACAGATCTAAAGAATTAAGACGTCTAGTCTCAGTTTGTCAGATACTATCTGCTCGATGGTTCTTTCTATTTGTAAACTCTTATCACTAAGGTGCATTTTGGTTCAGTTTATATTTATCTGTTTTCTTCTGACATTTGGACTTCCCCTAACCTAGTCCAACGGCGAAATGAAAAAGCTAACACTGTTCTCGGCCTCTCTCTTTCCTCTCTTTCTGTCTTTCTTCTTTCTTTTTCATAGAGATAGAAGCAAACAACCACACAAACGAACACGCACACAATAAGCACACACACAAACCACTTCCTAACCCCCTTCTCTTCCCAGAAAGCTACTGTTGTTTCTAATAAGAAGGGAAAAAAACATTTATTATCCAGCATGTATGGTCCTCTTATCTCATGCTTTCTTACGCACATTTTTCTTGGTGATCCTGGTGCAAAGATTTCTAAAGTCACAGCCTCTAACAGCTGCCATATTGCGAGGCTAGTGTCAGTCCTTTAGATGCATTTACTAGATGCATGTCATACAAACATTTCAATTCATTCAACTCTTTTCTTTTTGAAAGCTACTCATGTTAGTTGAAATCATAGAATCAGCTGGAGTTCATTGACCTTTCCTATGTTAATCACAGTCCCTAATGACACTTATAAGAATAAAACTAACCCAAAATCATGTTTGAGTTAAATGTAGTCTGCAGGATGCAATGTTCACTGTTAACATTGGGGACAGAACAGCCTCAGCGTGGGAATTTGGGCATGATTGTTAACTGGGTCACCAGATCTAGACCACACAACCCAACCTTTGTCCTTTGTGATAAAGCCGAGATCCTCACTGAATGATACTAATGAACACAGTAGATTGTCTTGTTACATGTTGCTGCGAATGTAATGCATGCCAACACACATCCCTGGCAAATTACCTTGTAAGGTGAATGTTGAATTTACCTTGTCATAGACCGCTACATCAAAGTTTCTACCATATCAACAAATAACAACAGATTTGTAAAATCCTGTCTCAGAGTATTATAAACTACTGTGCAGTGTTTTGGCTTCTGGTAAGTCTCATTAGTCTGCTACTCCTACTGGACTTCCTGGATCATATTTTATATCTCACAAATACCTGAGGCAACATGCTGCTACCAACGCAGCCACCTGCATCGTTTATGTGCAGGGCTGTTTTTGGTGTGAACACCCACTTGTCTGTCACCAATCGAGTTAGCTAAGGTTTCAAGCAGGTATGTGAAAGTCAAAGGGCAAGAAATTTTGTTGCTCATTTGGTTATAACACTATAACTGAATCAGTGTGGGTTGTCCGTGAAGAAATGTACATCTACTGCAACAGCAGCACGTAGCATGTAGGAGTAAGCAACATAGTCTGAAACAACAGCAGGGACATGGCTGATCATCAGAGAAACCGTGTGGGTTTGTCAGATTGTTTAGTCAACATGTACTAGGTAGATTGCCACAAAACTTTGGTGCAGATGTTTATGGATCAGATGTTGTATCCCAATAAATGTGGTGACTGCCTCATTATTTTACTCCAACGCTACCATTAAGTTGACATGTTTGGAGTGAAAACTGTTGGATGGACTATCTTGAAATTTGGTGAAAACATTTACAGTCCCCACAGAATGAAACATACTGACCCACCGACTTGTCCTCTAGTGCCACCAGGTCAAAATTTAATTTTGACCTAGTATGCTGACATTAGCATTCAGCTCAAAGCACAGCCTCACAGAGCTGCTAGTTTTACTGTATAGACTCTTGTTTAATTAGCAAAAAACATTTGATTTGACCTTTTAATGCCTCATGAAGTCTCTTTCTCTCTCCTCACCTCACTCCTCCACTGTGTGACTTCTCTCAGCCTCTTACTTCCTCCATCTTCTCATAACTGCCCACACAAACCACATCTCTCATTTTCAAACAGCTTGTTCCCCACATTTCTCTGTCTCTTTGTTAACATTATCTTTTCCATGGGCCAGTACTTCAAAAACACAAAAGTAGACGGTTTTAAATGGTTACTGTTATTGAAATTTGGCCGACATTAGTAATACAAGGTTATCTTCTGGGTTTAATATTAATTATGAGAGGTCTAAAAAGTTTGTTTTCACAATGATATACTTGTGTTTAGGGTATGTTTACAATAACAGGAATTTAATCAAACATCCAAAATATTTCATCACTGTCTTGTTTCAATGGAAGACTTGAAGATGTGACGTACAGTGACAGCTTCAGAAAAAGCTTTTAAGTTTACTTCATAACTCCGATGTAATCGTTCTACTCAGAAAAAAATTATTGCTGTTTCCTCACCACGATCATTGATGTCATCATTGTTATCAGTTTCATTGTAAGACACGCACACGTGTAATCTGTCTTCAAAAATACATCATGAAGAAACCGAACTCGACATTATCATCCTCTAAATCATCAGTGTCACGCCGTAGCATCATTTCCCGCCACAGACTCATTGATTCATTATTCCGGAAAACAAGTTTGACCTGCATTAGAAAATAGCTCTTGACCAGAATTAATTCATATAAGAACCTAAGAACCTACCTGGCTCCCGTTTCTCTGGTTCTGTCCATTTACGTTAAAAATGATTGATAAGTTGTTTCCATGTCTGTAGTCTGAGATTGTACTGAAAGGTTTTTGTTTCAAGGCTTCTGTCATGATCTAAAGTGACGTATAGGGAAGCTTTCTACATGAAAAAAAAAGGTCTGTGGTTTGTGTGGTTCCCCTAAAGGTAGTATCTGGGTGACATGTTATCCGTGTTTCAAGAAGTATGAATCAACAGGATGAAAAAACCCTTGTTAGTGTCAGTTTGTTACTTTCCGTTCTCTTTTTCCTGCTGTTCCTGTTACTTTACGATTACTTATTCACTTTAGTTACTGGCACTCCGAGTTAATCATTGCCTCTCAAATTGTTAAAATCACATTTGGTGAGAAGTAACAGAAGTGTGTGCTTTCCCAAACTAGTCCTTAAAATGCCCGTAAAAATAACTCTTAAAACACCCTAACACAAACCTCTACCTCTGTTAATAGGGATCTTGGAGTAGAGCCAGTTGAGGTGGTTCGGGCACCTGATCAGGATACTTCCTGGAAGCCTTTCATTGGAGGTCTTCCAGGCATGTCCAAGTGGTAGGAGGCCCCAGAGTAGACCCAGAACACAATGGACTGATTATATATCTCATCTGCCCTGGGAACGCCCCCAGGAGGAACTGGAAACGCTGCTCAGGAGAAGGATGTCAGGACTACTTGACCAGACCTGCCACCAGGACCCAACCCTGCATTAGCAGCAGAAAATGGATTGATCCTTAATTTCATGCATCCATTTCCCTTAGTTTTCAAACTTACAGGATAGCTTAAAGGTTAAGTCTATTTTAAAAGGAATTTAAAAGTGTAATTTAAAGGAAGCTCACCGATAAACACATTATATCTTGTTTGTTTTACAGGGGCCATGTGTCATGAGGAACTACTTCTTGGCCTGGAGTTTTTTTTTTTTAATCATGAGAAGTCCAACTAACCATTTCTCCTCCCATCACAACTATACAATGTGAGAAATGGGAGATCAAATCCACAGTCCACAGTGTTTCATGCTAAAATTACAAGCAGAGTAAATCATAAACTTTGTATATAAAGAAGTTATGTTGGACTTTACAAAGATGATGAACTCATAACAGTCGGACACAAACCAGCAGGAAGCAAAGACACATACACAGGGAAAGACAGGGAGAGAATTATGTACTAAAAAGACCTTTGGAAGACCAACTTGTTTTGTCTAAGGCAGACTATTGAAACATCGTACTGATTTAGGCTGAACTTTAGAATTAATTGTTGCACAGAATGAGTCCTGTGGATTGTGTCCGCCGTCACTTACAGTGGAGTTGTGCTATAGGAAGGAATCACTTTGCAGCTGATGTGGACAGGAGAAATTATTACAATGGCTAATAAGTCTTTCACCATACATATGGGTATGTGAATGTTGTCTCAAGGTAGACTTGAAAGAATCCAAGCCCTTCCTTTCAGAAACAAGTTACGTTAACATACCTTCAATGCAGTGATTAGCCCTCAGGTTGCATTTTCAACAGACTATGTTGTTGTACTGCATAAAGTTAAAAGTTAAAGTGATTGCTAATAGAAAATTGGTCTAACTTCTGGTTTAATCAAAGATCCTACATGTAGTGTCAGATTTTTAAATTTGCCGCCTCCTAGTGGCAGTATAAAAGACAGGCCGCAATGCACACTGCTGAGCCAAAATAACCATGTTGCTGTTATGCACACTCGTGTTCACTGATAATTTGTTTTCCAGAGTTGATTCTGTGGTTAAAAAATGTGTGAACTGCATAGTATCACATTATGTACGTACCTCATGCCACAACACATTTAACTTCAACTTTTTGTACACCAACATATGCAAATGGACTTCTGCTCCAGCAACAGCAGCGCTCACATTGTGCGCAGCTGCAGCATGGATTGATTTACTGAATGGGCCTAATGCACCCAGAGCCTCTGTATGAAGTGACTTTATTTCTTGTTTGAAAGTCAGTGTTCAAATAAAAGACACAAAATGACCAAAAATGCGAAATGATTATAAAGAGACAAGAAATTAACATAAAGAAGCAACCACAAGTCAGTCAGTCCATTGGTCTTTTCATACCTGAATGTTCAAAATATTTCTCAACACCCTGATTTGTATTTATATACGATATGTTGTAGTTTGACCTAATTTCCAGACAGGAAAAAGTAAATAAAGCATTTGTTAATCTGTAGGCAGGGCACCAACTAATATAAATGAGATTAACTGGCAGTGTTCAAGACAGACCAGCACCAGCTTAAGTAACTTAAATATTGAAGTTGAAGAGAAACTAACATGTTGTCAGACTAGATGTCAGAGTTCATACTACAGTTGTACTGTATGCTATGGTTAAAAACTGCTCTGAAACTTCACTGCCCTCAAGTGGAAAATGTTTGAATTTACCATCAACAACATTACGTTGGTGTCTTTTTATCAGCTGAAAATCAGTCATTAATTGAATTTGTAGTGATAGAATAGAAATACCTTGATACAAAAAATAAAATGCATATAAATTAACTTATTCTCAATGTTCTTTTTACAGTTAATTAAAAAAAATATATAAATAAAAATTTAAGACTAAATAACAAAACTGACAGTGCACTGCCCCCATATGCTACCTCCAACAACTGTTGAGATGACAGAAATAATTTACGTGTCGGGTCAGAACACTAACCAGCTAGGCCAGGTCAAGACAGTTATTCCTACTGACTGGAACAGCAGAGAGAAAAAAAACACAAAAAAAAACCAAGTTAACTTGGCAAAACTACACAGCAAAGACCTTTACTAAATAAATGGCCACTTTATTAAAAAGAGGAAGGCAGGAATTTCAGAAGTGTCACTTCTCTTTTACTTTAAGACATGTCAAACAGCTGGTGGTAAAATAGTCACTTGACTTTGTGTGTCTATGTTTCCAGCAGCAAAAGTAAATAATACAGCAACTATCTTTCACTTTCAAAGGAATCAAGTTGTTTTTACGTGTTTAAATGCATGTTGATACTTCAGAAAAACATATCTCAGCAAAATGACTAGGTGTGAAAGTGGGTGTCGTTTTGGTTAAAAAAAAAAACAACTGTGAAGAGTGTTTCTCTGTTGCTGATTACCTGTCTCCTTAATTGGCTGTTTAGCTGCTCTCGATCTTCTGTTTGTTTGAATCAACAACAAAAATGATAGAAATGTTTAAATGTGGCTGTCCTTCAGTGACAATACAGGATCTAGAGATAGATACTAGAGTTTGTGCTTCTCTAATTTGTCTTATGTACTTACCAATCTTAATAACAATGAAAACACTAATTCATCAAAGTGACCTGTTAGATTCATCATGAGGCAGATGGGGTAAATGGCCCCCGCTCTGCCACAGCAACTTCGGGCCGCCTTCCTCTTCCTGTAGGCTCTGGTTCTGGGTACACTTAGTCCAGGCAGAGGAGGTGGTTGAACAGAAGTGGGGAGTGGCGTTTGAGCGAGGGGAGGACCAACAGCACTGGATGACGGGTCAGGCTGCTCCTCCGGGACATTGAAGTTTAAGAGCTGTCCTTGTCCCACCTGTACCAATGATAGTCTGAGTCTGGCCAGCACCTGGAACACACAGACAAACACAGACTGTTTTAGGATTTTCAGCTTTCATTAAAAGATAAATCACAGAACAGATTACAACACACCAACACAGCTTTATGACAAACTCTTACCACTGAGTCCTCAATTTAATTCAAAGAGCTGGATGTTGGTCTGAGCCATCAACCTCGGGCCGGCCAGCACCGCCTCTCTGACGACCACATAATCCTCGAGAATGAACGACCACCAAGTCCTCACGTCGCTCTGGACCACGTGCCTCCACCAGGCGGCTAACACCGGCCCAGTTTGCAGGGCCCGAGTTCAGTCCAAGAAGACAGCTGAAAAATAATCAGAGAGCAGCGTGTGTTAATATAGATCTGATATTAATTAGCGGAAACAGTGATATCTGAAGTGAATCTCACCTCTGGAGACTCTCCTTCCCAGAACAGGAAGTGTTCTTCCCCGTCGCTGCCTTGAACTGTCACCTGGGCTGCCTCTCCTGGTATCAACTCGCTATTCCTCCTGCTCTGTCTGGCAGGTGTTGCCAGGAGCTTGGAAGTACTTGGCACTGGAGCTTGAGAACAAAGGTCAAAATGGATCAAAAATGAATTTTATGTTTGCATGAAATGATAATACACAATATACTAAATCACAAGCTATGAGACACACGCATGTACCTGGGATGAACTGGTTAAGGTGGAAACCAGAAGGCTGACCCCGCCCTTTGTCAGTCTACCAGTCTCTGTGTACAGCTGCACACGTGGTGAGTCTTGAATGCAGCTGAGGTGGCGCCTCTGTGTCTCCATATGTCCTGGATGCAGAAAGAATCCAGCAAAGGGACTTCCAGGGTGACGTGGAGATCCTGGATGAGGAGGGCCGTCTCCTGTTTCCTCCTCCAACAGTGGAGCCTCCACTCCTCCCAGGAGATCCTCAGGATCACCTTGGCAACAGTCAGGCCGAGCATCCTGTGCTTCCCCTCCAGCTAGGACCGCTATGCCTCAATGAGACAGCAGGCACCTCCGGGGGTCCACCTCGAAGATGCGGCACCATCAATCCGGCCGCCATCCTGGAAAGCCAACATAGGTAATCCAGACAGCTGTTTCAGAAGCAGCACCAGGGAGCTTCTTTGTCACCCTCTGATTGGACTGTCATTGTCCAGTTAGATTCAGCTATAAAAACAGGCTCCAAATTGTACTTGTAACTTCAGTATCACACATGGAACTTTGAGCACAAAGTTTTACAGAAAGCACTTTGTCAGTGTCTCTGCGTTACCTCACCACTGGTCATTTGTTTGGTTTTATTCACACTTTTTTTTTTTTATAAATGCAAAACTTGTTCACAGTGCATTATTGAGAGTTACTGCAACACATTACAACAGAACTGCATTGTAAACTAGAGTGAAATCCATCAGCATATTGTGGTTGTTTTTAGAGTTGTATAGCTTTGGGCAGTAAAGTCATTAAGCAGAGTTATTATTGAGTAGTTCCTACTATGAACATGTATACACTGTGGGTCTGATTTAATCACAGTGGTATAGACAAGTCTCACTTTTAAAAGTGAATGACAGCATGTTACTCACCTAGACTCTCCCCTCACTGTGTCTGGACTCTCTGCCGTTGGTGAGACAGGTAGAGGTGGTATTGCATCTGCACTGGCTCAGGTCCTGATAAAGACAGAGGTATGCTGAAATCTCCTGAGAAATGTAAAGACCTTGTGCACTTTCAATCGTGGCTGATCTCCTAACAGTAAAGTGGTGACAACATGGTGAACCAATCGACGTGTATTCACTGGTCTACTGGGTCCATACAATCTTGAGTTACAGTCATCAGTTACAAAATGAGCCTAAAGTTACTGACGTAACTAGCTGTACAACAGCCGAGAGCAACAGACACAATCCTGGTAACAACATCAATATCACCACTTGAAATGTTTGTGGGTACGGTTCGTCAGTCGTTGCACTGATTATACTTTTAGCTAAAGAGCTACTGTAACATTTATGTTACTCACCGGGCTAACAGGAAAGTTGCGAGCTCGGCATCAAACCGCATCCCTTTACTCTCAGGAGCCGTCTCCAGCGGTGGGAAGCCACATCGAGATTTACTCGTGTTGCCTCTTTTCTTCTCTCTCCTCTTCTTTTTCTTTTTGTCGGGAGCGGTCCTTCGGGATGCAGATGAATATTGTCTTTTAGGAAGTTCAGCCATCTCTGTGTTTCTGTGATGCTAACTGCCGGAAGTCGTTCTTCTTCGTGGGACTGAGAGCAGACTTGACGCTCCACTGACTCACACAGCGTCTAGTGTCACAAAGTGGTATTACAACACAGGACAGGTCGGCGCTGGCTGGTTATCATGCTCATTTCAGTAGATAACTTTGAAATACAACAGATGGAGGTCTTGATCATGACATTACTGTGGATCCTTCGCACACTGTTGATGGTGTTAATTCATGTTTTGACCATTTTAAACTTAAGTTCTGGCCAGATCTTATATTGCACCTTTACAGCACAACCATCAAAGCTGAAGTAAAGCTACATGTTCTTTGCTCACATTGCAAACTAACTTACAGTTTTGACACTTACGTTAAAACAAAGACATTGAGCTTAACTTGACCGATATTGACACATTTGATACATACAACACAGTTGCTTTGACGTTATATATGTTTATATATGCAAGGGATATAAAGCCCCGGAGACTACGTCCATTTTTATAAACAGTCTATGGATTCAGGTCTTTACCACAAGGCGTCACTGGCAGACATTCCAGGTAGGAACTCATCTTCGACTGTTGCCCAGCCGGCTGCTTTCAATCGGTGCACACACGAGGCGCTCACCGGATGTTGATGGATTCTCATGTTACTGTTCAGCTGTAAAGGCAACTTCTGATTGATGTAGCTTGTAGATAATTAAACAAAAGTTCTTATTATTAAATCGGGAGGCCAGTGTCGTTGGTTAGGAGAGGACCGGAGCTGCTTAGCCATGATTTTAAAGGTCAGTTTAGCCTCTTAGCTCGCTAGCTAAACAACATTAGCACTGGACATAAGTGCCCTCCGACCAATGTTTGTGATTCTGCGTGTTGTTCCTAATTTCCCTCCTAGGGCCTAAACCCTCAGCCCTCAAATTTAATTCACATCATGCTAAGTGTTAGAGGCTCAAAATGGTCTGCAGAGAAATGGGACTTTTTTACATATCACGTTACTTTGAAGACAGCCAAACATGTTTTGCACCATTGTGGGTTTGGGACTTTTTTTTATTTCCCCAATTCACTCCTTGTTTGTAAACAAAATAATAATGATGGATAAGAGCTGTTGAAAGAGCTTAGCATCATGCATGTCATCACAGGATAAATAATTAGACACAGTTCTGAATCACCATTGAGCTCCGTGTTTAAATTTACATCATGTAAATTTTTCATTTAACGTTAACGTTAGGGTTCGTTCCTCTTATGCTTATTTGTTGACCATTATTCTTATATCTTTACTTTTCGTTTAATGGCGGTTGTTTACCCTTTTTTTACGCTTCCGGGCGTCCCATGGTAGCCACGGAAACCCCATGGTTACTTAATTTAACTTAAGTTAATTAATTTTGTAATTAACCAGTTAATCAAGTATTTATTATTTTATTCTTAAGAAACAGAATAAAATCTATCTGACAATTTTATGATACACTAACTTTGATTCAAATTACAGTAATGATTAATTTATTATCTAAATTACATTCAAAATGTTTTAGTGCATTGGCACCCATAGAGAAATATTCTAGGGGCTATTTACTAGTTTGTTTGTTGATTTTTCTAATATTTATTCATTTGTTGTGAGTTTGGATCACTTCAATTATTTTGTTGTTATTTCTTGGTAATAATATATTTTGTTAGGTATTAGCTAAATATATTATTTGCTTGTTTAGCGTAATTAGTATTTTGTTCATTTGGGTAACACTATGGGTACTTGGGATTATTTAGGTAGACAGACAGGTTTAGGACCAGCATGCACCTGGGTTGGCTTCTTTTTTTTCCTTTTTTTTATCAGAGTAGCAGAGGCAGCAGGAAACATGATCCCTTTGTTATTCTGTTTGCTTGCTTGTTTGGATAAATAAATTAAAACAAAAATGCAATGGCCTTATTTGGACAATGGATTCTTTTGCCTGTGTAAACCACATCCTCATGGTGCATCAGTGACCTTTTGATTTGTATGTCGGAATTAAATTATTTTGAAGACAAATCGCCACTACAAATATATTTCCTTGTTTGAATTAGTTTGAATTTTTCTATGTACTGTTCTCCCTGCCAGATGTCAGTAAAGTGAAGAAGAAGAGAAAGCAGCAGACCCCCAGCTCAGCCACTGTGATGGAGCTGGTGAGCACCAAGCAGCACGGACTCATCAAGCAAGTCAGTCGGCTGCAGGGTCGCCTGGGTCCCAGCAAAAACAAAGCCCCTGTCAAAGACAAGAGGATCAAGTCTGCAGTGGGTCAGTCTACTCGTAGTCCTGCACAGCATCAGGGTTTAGAAGGAAATACACCCAAAAGTAGAATTCACAAACAATGCTCACCTTTGCACTGTTTTATATCCATCCATGCACATATGCTTCACAGAGACAGCACTATTTCTATGAGCTTCACATTTACAAATACATTTTGCACTAACTCTATGTATGGTAACACTTACAGTAGTAGTATTTGATTATTTATGCCTATTTTACTCTGTTTCGTACCTTCTTATTTTTTTTCTATTGTACGTGTTAGTGGGTTTTATATATGTGGTGTAAGCTACTGGATACCTGAATTTCCCCGCGGGATTAATAAAGTATCTATCAAACATTATTGAAGTAGTGTGCGGCTCAGTTTTATTGCACTTTATTAATACTGTCGCCTCACAGCAAGAAGGTTCTGGGTCCGAGCCTGTTGGCCGGCCCTCTGTGTGTAGAAATTGCATGTTCTCCGTGGGTTCCCTCTGGGTACTCCAGCTTCCTCCCACACGCCAAAGACATGCAGATGACTCTGAATTGCCCATAGCTGTGAATGTGAGTGTGAATTGTTGTTTGTCTCTATATATCAGCCCGGTGATAGACTGACATGTCTATTGTATTCTAAGCAGGTAAATAGTTTAGTTCCATTTCTGTTAAATTCAGCCTCAGACAATATTATCAGGATTATGTCAAATAAAGAATATGTTGAATAAAGTTGGCTTTTTCAGCATTTACATTACATCATTGTGTGTCATCAGTGTACAGTGAAAACAATGCCCATCAATGGGGCATCCACAAAAATCTTCTACCCTTTATTAATATTTGTATTTACATTTATATTTGCTCATTATCCAAAGCAACTTACAAGTGAGGGGCATCACTAAAGCTTCATTGCAGTACGAGGCGTTGGTGTAAGTATAAATACTAGTGCAAGAGCAACTGTTTCTTAAAGAGATAAAAAGCAATTTACTTATTCATCTTCACAGTCAATGCATTTTAATATAGCTGCCATACCAATATAAATCAATAAAATGTATAAATATATATATATAAATTAAATATGATACATCATGACACTGAAGTTCTCCTTTGGATTTTTTGACCTTTAGTGGTGCAATCATGAATGAGTGGATCACTGTATTGTTCATATGTCTCGTTGAACACACACATGAGCCATGACCACAGGAGAGAATAAAACAATTCTGTTGACTGCAGACTGCACTAAGTGGCCAGTGGATACCAGTGCACCAGTAAAAGAGAATAAGAATACTGCAAGCTGATCAACAATCCTGCGTGTGCTTCATATTATATTCTACCACATTGACCGTTTACTGCATACTGCAAAGATTTCTGTCTTTTTTTTTTTTTAACTCTCTTCCTGTCTCGCTGGCATATATCCATCACCAGAAGGTTCCATTGACCTGGACATTGCCATCAGAGCGATCCCCGCCAGTTTGTGACTTGGACTTGAAGGTTGTAGAGGTTGACTCATATCTGTCCCAGAGAACTTCAAAGGTAGTTGTGGGAAAGAAGACAAGACGCATGGTAAAGTACAGGGAAGAGTCAGAGGAAACTGGAAGCTTGTGGATTCGATGGACTTATCAAAGTCCTCCAGGCTCTCCTCATGACTCAACTGCTCCTCGCTCCCACTACAAACCCCTGAATCCATGCTCGGAAGCTCAGGACTGCAAGGAGGCATCCTCTGGACTTGCTCATAATCAGAACAAACCTGAATGGACCCTTTGCCAAAAAGGCTTCCACTGCCTCCAAACAGCATCTTGAAATCTACTTTTCCATCCCCTCCCTCTCTCTCCTGCTCTTTGCCCTCTGACCCCTCATCATGGCTGTCAGGCGCACCAATGCTATCTGCTTCCAGACTCTCTTGACTAACCTCTTCGCCACTGCTCTGGTGCTCAACCAGGGGTTTCTCATAGTCTGAAATGACCTGCACTGGCTCACTGTTGTTGTTGCCTTTGGAAAGCAACTGCTGGATCTCCAGTTCTTTCTTTCTTTCTTCCTCCCTAACCTCTTCTGCAGTTTTACCATCACCCTGACTACCAACAGACCCATTAGGTGTATCAGCGGCACAGGGCTCCACATTCCCTGCGGTGGACGGGGAGACCAGAGGCTGGGAGTAACTCGGGTTGGAGAAGCTGGAACTGGTCGACTCATAGCCGTTCTCGTTTTTCATCTTCTCCAGCAGTGCTGCCTCTTTCTTGCACCGTGTGACAGCATTCACACTGGAGGTTACCTCTACAGAGATGATTTCCTCCAGTTTGAAGGAGAGAAAGAGTTCGCTGGTCGAGTGAGGGCTCAACCAATTCTGGAGGGGAAAAGATAAAAGGTGGGAGAGGAAGAGCAGGAATCGGAAAGATTAGAAAGGCAGAAGCCCCTTTTACACTGGAAAAAAGTCTCCCTAACATCTGGCTTTCGTAGTCAATGTGAACGGGTACAATCGCCATTCACTCCCAGGTCAAATGACTCCGCAGTAGTCGCTGGGATTTATCGGCTGCGGCTCCGATCAGCAGTGATGTAGACATGACACTCAGTTGAACACGCTACTTTTCGCCCCTTTTCCATGCAGTGACATCTCTCGGAGCTCACAACACTGTAGACAGACTTGTCACTTTCCCACCACAGCTACACTGTGCTACTAATGCTCTTTGTTTGCTTAATGTATAAATAAGCAGTTTTCTGCCAACATGTTCACCACAATAATACCACATTTAAAAATGTCAACAGCGTGCTTACAATTTGTTCTAATGTTTTGAAGGTGACCAACAATATTGACTAATGCAGCCTTAATATGTTGTAATTTTGCTCTAACACATTTTTACAAAAAGCAATAATCAAGTCTATCTTTTTGAAACAAGTGATGAACAACAAGAAAAAGATTTCATAGGCTCACCTGGAAATCCATATCCTTCAGGGAGGATTTTCCTGGGTCTGGTATGGGCGAACCTTTGATCTTCTTGTAAACCCTAAAAAACAGAATGACATGATCTTTGAAAACATGTTTTTGTGGAACACAACAGACCAGATCTGACGACAAAAGTGACACAAATATCTCTTGTCTTCTCACCAGGTGCCTTTGTCATTCCTCAAGAGTATGACAGCCAGAAAGAAGGCAAACCCTGCGCCTGCGATGATCATGCCCCATATCTTCGCGGCAACACCTGACAAACACAGGACGGAGCACGTCACCCAGATTAGCTAAGAGGTAAACATTCTGTATTTATACCACTGTAAATGACAAATGTGGGTTTTATTCATTCAAAAAGCAAATAAGCTTATTTTCCATGTGATATAAGATAAACATCTGTTCCTGTTTGAACATGTATTGTTCATCCAACTGGTTTCCTTCTCAGGAATTTAAAGCAGAGCCATGAACAAATCTCCAGATGTAAAAGCATGTGGTATTGGTAAAATGTTGCTTTTCACTGATCACATTTGTTAAACTAAACCAATTAATTTTGTTCATATTTAACAACATTTACCTGATAGTGGTGGTGGTTTTGGTCTACCTTCAAGTGACTCCCATGATTCAGTGGGGCTCCAGTCACTCCAGGTTGACTTGACCCAGTTTACAGTGGCCTTCACTCGAACGCGTGCCTCGTACCTCTCTCCTTTTATAAGCAGGTCGGGGTCCAGCTCTGTCTTGCACTCTGTCTCGTGCTCCAAATTGCAATATTTGTATTTTTTCTGCACAGAGGGATCCTGACAAGGAAGACACAAATGTGGATCTTTAACAGGATGATTCACACAAGACACACATTATGTGTATAAGTCATTTAACATACACAACACACACTCATTTCATGTATTTATGTATTAAGACAGACACAAAACGTATACACACATTCCATGACTGATCCCCCTTTTTCCACTGCAGTTCGGAGTTGAAATATTTTATTTTTCCACGGGTTATAACCCAGGAAACGGTGGTGGAGTTGATATCTGGTTTTCCTGGATGATTCAGCTTTACTGCAGGATCACACAAACATAGTTTGCTTTAGGTCACCACACATAGCTGACAAGTCACAAAAGGTCAATATATCATTCAGTATACTCACCGTGGCAAACCGGCATGTAAGAAATTGTCAAATTTTGCTTTGCAGCTTTACAGCTCAGATTAATGGAATATACATCTTCCTCGTAAAACTGAGAAATTATTGAGGAAAGAAAATTGCAATTAGAAAACATTAATGACAACAATATGGAAGTAAAGATTAGAGCAGGTAACTGGTTTAATGATGTGGCAGCTGATTGGTATAAATATATACATATATGTGTGTGTGAGTGTATGTGTGCATATAGTTTATAAATATATATAAAAACTTAAAGATCAACTGATAGTACTTGAATATCACTAATTTGATGAGTCCTGATATTAGGTTTTTCTGAACAGGGTCTAATAGCAGTTTTAGTGTTTGTTTTCTACAGAGCTCCTCAGACTCACAGTGCCTCTTCTTTTGAAGTACAGGGAGCACTTCCTTTGGGCTGGTCTGGAGATGTTAACAGGCTCTAGGTTACAGGAAGTGTAATATACAATACTCCTGAAGAAAAAAAAAAAAAAAAAAAAAGTCATGTTCAATTTCATTTTACTGCTTTTGTGCACATACAGTATATTTGCATCTGCTGTAAGTACATGACTAGTTTTTCTTTTACTGACTGCTGTCCTTACTTGATCGAAGTATTCCTTTTAGCGTGTAGTGTGCACACAGCATCCGTGTGTTCGTATGCAGTGTTCCACACACAAGTGATGTTACGGTTGTAGTCATTGTAGCAGGTGAGATCTGTGAGAAATAATAAGACAGAGGTGAAATACCAAGTTAGAGCTGTGACAGTGTGTGAACTTTTTCATTGTTGTTTTGTGTAACAGAAGATGTTGAAACCAATTATATTACAGTGAATCCAGAAAGTATCCACACCCCTTCACTTTCCCCACATTTTGTTATGTTACAGCCTTATTCCAAAATAGATGAAATCCCCCCCCCCCAAATCTACACACAATACCCCATAATGACAAAGCAAAAAAAGGTTTTTAGAAATTTTTTGCTTTATTAAAAATAAAAAAACTGAAATATCGCATATACATAAGTATTCACACCCTTTACTCAGTACTTTGTTGAGGCACCTTTGGCAGCGATTACAGCCTCAAGTCTTCTTGGGTATGAAGCTACAAGCTTGGCACACCTGTATTTGGGGTATTTCTCCCAGTCTTCTCTGCAGATCCTCTCAAGCTCTGTCAGGTTAGATGGGGATCGTCGCTGCGCAGCTATTTTCAGGTCTTTCCAGAGATGATCAATCGGGTTCAAGTCTGGGCTCTGGTGGCTCTGATGGCTTGGTTTCTGCTCTGACATGCACTGCTTCACAGACTCGTCCAAAAGCCACTCCTTTGTTGTCTTGGCTGTGTGCTTAGGGTCGTTGTCCTGTTGGTAGGTAAACCTTCGCCCCAGTCTGAGGTCCTGAGCGCTCTGGAGCAGGTTTTCATCAAGGATCCCTCTGTACTTTGCTCCGTTCATCTTTCCCACGATCCTGACTAGTCTCCCAGTTCCTGCTGCTGAAAAACATCCCCACAGCATGATGCTGCCACCACCATGCTTCACCGTAGGGATGGTATTAGCCAGGTGATGAGAGGTGCCTGGTTTCCTCCAGACGCGACGCTTGGCATTCAGGCCAAAGAGTTCAATCTTGGTTTCATCAGACCAGAGAATCTTGTTTCTCATGCAGAGACGGTTGTCCTTCTGGAAGTTTCTCCCATCTCCACAGAGGAATGCTGGAGCTCTCTCAGAGTGACCATCGGGTTCTTGGTCACCTCCCTGACCAAGGCCCTTCTCCCCCGATTGCTCAGTTTGGCTGGGCGGCCCGCTCTAGGAAGAGTCCTGGTGGTTCCAAACTTCTTCCATTTACGAATGATGGAGACCACTGTGCTCTTCGGGACCTTCAATGCTGCAGAAATGTTTTTGTACCCTCCCCCAGATCTGCGCCTCGATACAATCCTGTCTCGGAGGTCTATAGACAATTCCTTTGACTTCATGGCTAGGTTTCTACTCTGACATGCACAGTGGGACCTTATATAGACAGGTGTGTGCCTTTCCAAATCATGTCCAATCAATTGAATTTACTACAGGTGGACTCCAATCAAGTTGTAGAAACACCTCATGGATGATCGGTGCAAACAGGATGCACCTAAGCTCACTTTTGAGTGTCATAGCAAAGGGAGTGAATACTTACAGTATGTACATGCAATATTTCAGTTTTTTATTTTTAATAAATTTGCAAGAATTTATAAAAAACCTTTTTCGCTTTGTCATTATGGGGCATTGTGTGTAGATTGATGAGGAAAAAAAAGGAATTTAACCCATTTTGTAATAAGGCTGTAACATAACAAAATGTGGGGAAAGTGAAGGGGAGTGAATACTTACAGTATGTACATGCAATATTTCAGTTTTTTATTTTTAATAAATTTGCAAGAATTTATAAAAAACCTTTTTCGCTTTGTCATTATGGGGCATTGTGTGTAGATTGATGAGGAAAAAAAAGGAATTTAACCCATTTTGTAATAAGGCTGTAACATAACAAAATGTGGGGAAAGTGAAGGGGAGTGAATACTTACAGTATGTACATGCAATATTTCAGTTTTTTATTTTTAATAAATTTGCAAGAATTTATAAAAAACCTTTTTCGCTTTGTCATTATGGGGCATTGTGTGTAGATTGATGAGGAAAAAAAAGGAATTTAACCCATTTTGTAATAAGGCTGTAACATAACAAAATGTGGGGAAAGTGAAGGGGAGTGAATACTTACAGTATGTACATGCAATATTTCAGTTTTTTATTTTTAATAAATTTGCAAGAATTTATAAAAAACCTTTTTCGCTTTGTCATTATGGGGTATTGTGTGTAGATTGATGAGGAAAAAAAAGGAATTTAACCCATTTTGTAATAAGGCTGTAACATAACAAAATGTGGGGAAAGTGAAGGGGTGTGAATACTTTCCGGATGCACTGTATGTAAAGTAGGTTATCAAAAAAATCACAAACTTTTATCTGGGTGGCTCGGACAGTTTGCAACGTCCATTCTGACAGCGCAGACATGAAGCAGAGCAAGAAGTAGAAAGAGCAGAGGGCTTTTCTTGATTCTCTCCATTTATCGTGTCATCAGTCTTTTTTTTTCTGGGGGAGAAATGAAATTATCAGGATGGTTGGTTTCCAAAGCCGGTTGACTGCTTCAGGGTGTAACTCGCTGCTTTTTCCTCCCTCTCATCCTGTGCAGATGGAAAGATGCAGCTGTTGACAAGAGACATAGAGATGAAAAACTCTTGCCCCTGGGTTTTGCCTCTAAGGCTACACACAGGTTTCTCGAGGCTGTTGGGGTTGTAGACAGCCTCAGAGAAAAACTACTTTCACCCCCTCCCTTCCTCTGAAAGCAAAGCAGTTTCTTTTTTATCTGGAGCATCAGAAACGTTTCGTGGATGCTACCTAGGTTTTTTTGCACCCAACAGACAGCTGAATGTTGTTTCGCCTTTACTGCGTCCGCCATGTAACACAGTACAACACGCTGAAGGTGCTGCACAGTGTTGCTGGGGGACACATAACACTGTTAAAGTCCAAGAATAATGCAGCTGTCTGTGGTTGCTTAAATGAGCCTCCAGTTATGTTTACAATATACATATAGACGACAGAACACACTCTTTAGCTTTAACAAACTTGCCGGTTGACGCAAAACCCATTGTTACAGCTGTTGCCACAGATGGATTTAAAACTCTGATATACTGCTGAATACAGAGAGATATACCTGGCGCTGATAGGTTTAATCAGCACTCTACCGTTAATCTAAGAAACAAGCATGAAATATGAAGTCAACAACGACCTCGTTTTAGCGTCTTACCTGTTGGTGAAGCTGTTCAGGATCTGCCTCAAAGCACTGGTTTCATTCCACTTGATGCCCTGTAAGAGAACATCTGATAAATAAAGTTTTTCCTCTCAGAGGAAATGGCAAACAGCCACCCCCATAAATCATAAAAATATAGAAGATAATGATCGTACTCTGAAGGTAACTTCTAGGAAAGTGAATCATTCAAGAGGAGTTTTGTGGTCAAGTATGTTAACACATCAGAGCAGTTTCCTCTTTTATTTGCCTTCTACTAAGAAATAACTGGACATTTATGGCCTTTTTTTGTTGTGCAGCTGTTTCTATGACTAGAAACTTAAAGCAAACATTTCTTTTTTTAAAACCTGCATACAAATTTTTTTTTTTGTATGTGTTATGTATATATTTCCATGCACAGGCGAGGTTTTTAATGACTCCCGCGGTCACCTGCAATTTAATAAAGGTCAGTGTTTTTTCTGAGAACTGAAATGTTCCATTACTTGGACGTGTGCACTTCCTGCGAACGACACTTCCTGTTCTCAAAAAGACATTAATCAGATTGAAACATGACCTCCTTATAATCATTAGCTTGTGTACCTTCCCAGTTGTAAACTTTATATGAAGCAAACAAATGTGTTAGTAGTCAGGTAGTTGACATATTTAACAAGTCCACTTTTATCTTAAAAAGTTCTCTCTTGTTAAAAAGGTGAGAAAAGGGAAGATGAATTGATTAGATCCTCTTAAAGTCACAGTATGTATTAGATTCAGGCCTCTCTCTATTGTAAATGCTGCTTATAAGGGTCAAAATACTTAAGTCCAGTATCAATAACAGTAGTTCTTTGTAGTTTCTGTAACAGAAAGTATAACTGTAACATCAAGTCCATCCTATTGTACAGTTCTGGGTGTCAAGGCTGATAGGAAAAGGACTGAGAGAGAAAGCAATAGGTCACCTTGTGGCCAAACAAGAGCTCTTATCACCAAGGTGCGTTTTGGTTCAGTTTAGATTTGTCTGTCTTCCTCTGACATGTGGACTTCCCCTAACCAGGTCCAACGACAAAATGAAAAAGCTGACACTGTTGTCTGCCGCTTTCTTTCCTCTCTTTCCTCCCTGTCTTCTCTCTTTTTCATAGAGATACAAGCAAACCACACAAACTAAACAAGTACACACAAACCACTTCCGAACCCCGTACTCTCCCCAGAAAGCTACTGTTGTTTCTAATTAAAAAAAAAAGCCCTGTTTACTATCATCCTCCTATCTCACGCTCTCTCACACACATTTATCTTGATGACATAGGTCTAAAGATTTCCAAAGCTGCAGCTGTCCTGCAAGCATTAACATACACTATGTAGACGTGGTACATCATCTTGCTGTGGTGGATTCCTAGTAGATTCCTAGTAGATTCATTTGTAAGGTGAACCCTGAGTTTATCTTGTGATCAGCACCACATCAAAGTTGTTCCTGTAACATCAGATAACAACAGATTTGTCAAATCCTGTCTCAGGGTATTATAACCCACTGTAGCAGTGTTTTGGCTTCTGATTAGTCTCATGGGTGTGTTACTCCTACTGGACTTCCTGGGTTACATTTTATATCTCACCGATACCTGAAGCAACACACCGCTACCAACGCAGCCGCCTGCATCGTGAAAGTGCAGGGCTGTTTTTGGTGTGAACACCCACTTGTTTGTCACCAATCGAGTTAGCTAAGGTTGCATTCAAGTAAAAGGGCAAAAGGGCAAGAAATGTTGTTGGTTTGGTAATAACGCGTCAAGGACCCCTAAACAGACACAAATTAGACCATGGACACTCACCTGAAAAGATTTTAGCTTTTCGATGTTTCATCACAGAAAGTGTTTGAAACCCATGACCAAAACAGTCATATGTTCGGTCACTGGATGGACAGAATTTTAGTGAAAATAAATTATTCCCATTTTTGCTGGGGACCCCAGGTTACCTCTTCAAGGTCCCCTGGTCCACTTTGAGAACCACTGGTTTAGTCAACATGTACTGGATGTAGATTTAGAGAAAATGTAGCGCTACCATGTATGAAGCTGCTAGTTTGGCTGTAGACTTTATTTAGCAAAAAAAAAAAAAAAAACATGTTAAAATGTTGATACGATCTTTTATTACTCTTTTAATATCTGCTTCCTATTTTCTCCTCCTCTCTCTCCTCTGTGCTTCTCTCTCTATCTCTCTCTCTCTGTCTCTTTCAGTCAATTACCCAACCTTTTCTAAACCCCCCCACACAAACCACATAATTTTCAAACACTTTTTCCACACATTTCTCTGTCTCCTTCTTGTTAACGTCGATATCTGTTTGAATGAAAACCTGACTAAGCATGTATGACTGTACAGTCTTTATGAGCGCATTGCCATTTTGGGTTAGTTTACCATACAAGGACTTTTATTACCTGTCCAAATCACCGAAAGTGTTTCGTAACTGTCTTGTTTTAGAGGAAGACTTGAAGACGTGACGTGTAGTGACAGCTTCTCAATAAGCCTGTAAGTTTACCTCGTAACTCCCAACGTAATAATTTTAATCAGAAGTATGTCGACAACACATGTTTCTTCACCCGCGTCACCGAAGTCATAGTGGTCATTGGTGTTGCTGTAGGACACACACCTACACATGTCTAATCTGTCGCATCATGAACAAACCAAACTCGAACTTTATCATCCTCTAAATCATCGTTGTCATGTCTGTAGCGATATTTACCAACACAGCCTCGTTCACAGAAGTTTGATCAACATCAGGTTAATTCATATGAGAACCTACCCGTCTAGCGTTGTCCTGTGGAGAACTCTTTCCATTTCTCAGCGTGTACTGAAAGGGTTTGTTTCAAGACTTTTTGTCAGGATCTAAAATGACGTATAGGAAAGTGTCTTAGTGTGAAAGTCTGAGTGAAAAAAAAAAAACGTGGTTTCTGTGGTTTCTCAGACGGGAGTGTGAAAGTCGAGTGTGTTATCTACATTTCATGAAGTTTGAAACAACGAGATGAAAACCCCTTTAGTGGCTCTTTTTTTTTTTTTTTGGCCCGTTCTGTTACTTTACATGAAGTGCTTTAGTTACAAGCGTAATAGGAACTCTGAATTAATCACACCGTCTTAAAGAAAACGCATGGTTGGTAACTGTAATCTCCCTTCCTCTTACCACAGCTACACAGCATAAGAAATTCAATGCCAAAAATACATCCCTAAATTTCAGCTTAAGCTAATATGAGGATCAAGCAGGGTATAGTCAAAACTTAAAGAGTCTTAAAACAGGTGGTTACTTCACACCTAAGCAGGCCCTCTATTGCTGGAAAAGGCTTAGTACTCAAAACATACAAGCCGAGTGAATCTTAAACTACTTTTATGTTGGATTTTACAAAGATGAGGAACTCACAACAGTTCAATCCTTTTAGAAACAGGGGGCTTTAACATACTTTACATGCAGTGATTTGTCAGTAATTACAAGCACAGGTGCAAATTTTAGGACTGTACTTTGTTCAACAAATGATGTTTTTCTACTGCATGAAGTTATTTTTACATGTATTTTTTTTGTCTTAAAACTAGTATTGAAAAATAAAGGAAGTGAATTGTACAATATCTGGTTTAATCTAACCTGTAGTGTGAGATTTTTTTTGTTTTTACTTTGGCTCCCCCCAGTGGGAACGTTATAAAACACACACACACACACACACACACACACACACACACACACACACACACACACACACACACACACACACACACACACACACACGATAGCAGACAGCAATTCACACCTCTGAGCTAAAGGTTGTAATCTAAAATTTCAAGTTAGATTGCAAAATGAACGGTTACCCTTCAACAGTGTGGTAAAAGATATATATAAATAAACAAGTTTCTGTTGCAGACTGACCATCATAAGCTGTTTGGTATTTAACAAAGTTAATTAAACACTCATTTTCATTGAACATTTTTTTCCAGAGTTGATTCTGTGAAACATCAGTGGGTGAAAAGGTGTGAAATGCATAGTATCACGTAACGCATGCACCTCATGCCACAGCACATTTAACTTTTTGTAAACCAACATGCACAAATGAAACTTGTGCTCCAGCAACAGCAGCGCTCACATTTCTGTTTGTGTGCAGCTGCAGCATGGATGGATTACTGCTTACACTGATTATACAAGACGACCACAAAGAGATGCAAAATGACCATACATCAGTCTGTCCACGGGTTTTTTTTTTTTTTTACATGAATGTTCAAAATATTTCCCAACACCCTGATTCATATTTACCTACACTTGAGTTTGACCTAATTTCCAGTGAGGAAAAAATAAATTAAGCATTTGTTAATCAGTAGGCAGAGCACCAATTAATGCAAATGAGATTAACTGGCAGTGTTCAAGACAGACCAGCATCTTAAGTAACTTAAATATTGAAGTTGAAGAAAAACTAACTACACATGTTGCCAGACTAGATGTCAGAGTTCATACTACAGTTGTACTTTATGCTATGGTTAAAAACCGCTCTGAAACTTCACTGCCCTCAAGTGGAAACTTTTTTTCAACACGTTGGTGTCTTTTTATCAGCTGAAAATCAGAATTTGTAGTAATAAAATAGAAATACCTTGATACAATGATGAAAAAGAGTACTAAGTACACGTTACTAGTTGCCCAACATTTATTGTCAATCTTGAAACAAGACTGTGGGAAACTGAACTTGACGTGATTCTCAATGTTCTTTTTACAGTTCATTTAAGGAGATAAGTGATATTGATTTTTGACAGTGCACTAACCCCTGTATGCTACATACAACAACAGTTCCAGTGAGATAACAGAAAATATTTCTTTGTCGGATCAGCGCACTCACCAGTTAGGGCCAGGTCAAGACGGCTACTCCCTCTGGCTGGAACAGCAGAGATAAAGAATCAGGTCGACTCCTTTTTGTGTTGTTTGTACAACATCTGTAAAAGAGAATATCTGGGCAAAACAACTCAGCAAAGACCTTTACTAAATGAACTGCCACTTTATATAAAAAGAGGAAGGCATGAACTTAAGAGGTATCACTTCCCTTTGTGACAAACATTTCTTGGGGCTGGTGGCATTTTGACAAGTCATAGTCACTTGACTTTGTGTATTTACAGCAATATAACAACTAGCAATACAGCAAATCTCTTTACAAATTGGGTTGTTTAATTATTTATGTGTGTTGATACTTCAAAATATGTCACAGCAAAATAACTTTTGCTGTCAAGCGGGTTGTTGCTTATTGCTTTAAAAGCAATTCAAGACTATCAAGTCTAAGATGTGTTCAATGACCTAAAATATAAGAGGAGTGAATAACAAAAGGTATCATTACAAATAACATTGTTGACGGTTTGTTTTAGTTTATTTATTTATTCATTGGGTACGAATCATTTCTTTCACTGGTGGATATCTTATGTTGAAAGGAAAAGAAACACTCTTGAGGCAGTGTGTGTGTGTGTTTGTGTGTGTGTGTGATCAGCATTGTGAATACTCAGCTTACAAGTCTAAAGTCTAACAGTCAAACTCAAAGTGCATTTTTCTACTAGCCTGCCAAATTAGACTGCTCTCAGATCAGTTTCGGGTCCCTTTTATCAAGCCTCAAGTCTTGACAAATATACTCACATATATTTCATATTTTTTTGTGTGAGACATTTCAGCAACTTTCAACTCATAGTGAATCGAAAGAGCAGCTGTGTTTTTTTGCAAATGTAAACAAACCTTTTCCAGTTTCAGAACTGATTAAAAAGTCAAGTTTAGTGTTCTCATATTGCTTGCTCTTCTGCTGAGTCATCTATTGTGTTTGGAAGAAAGAAAAAAAACGTCCCTCAGTGATCTGTGTTTGGATTATGCATTGCTTTTTTTATGTTAAAGGAATAGTTTGACATTTTGGGAACATACCGGAAGCTAGTTTGTTTTCTTGCGGAGAATTACAGTAGATGAAAATACCAGTACCACTCTTTTCTGTGACGTAAATATCAAGCAAGAGCAAACCACTGCTACACATCATTCATATGTCTGCGTGTGCAGCGTGTAAAAAAACGAGATGTAACACGCTAATCAGAGATCCTGGTAGGTGGATTTTATCACTCTTGGACAGAGTCAGGCTAGCTGTTTCCCCTGTTCCCAGTCTTTGTGCTAAGCTAAGCTAACCAGCTGCTGGCTGTAGCTTCACATTTAGCGTACAGGCATGACAGCGATATCAGTCTTCTAATGTAACCATGGCAAGAAAGAAAATAAGTAGTAAGTATTCCCCAGAATGTCAAACCATTCCTTTAAACCTTAACACACTTTTCCCAACAACAACAAGCTAAGAACAAACATCCTTCTTCTCTTGTCGACCAGTCCCAGTCTCATCCGGTCTCAACCAATCAAACACACTTCCTGTAATTCTCAGCCAATCACAAATGTTTCCCTCGTCCTTCAGATATGACATGCTCGGGGGCGGCGCGGGTGTACCACTCTGACCACCCGCCGTCGTACACCGACACCCCCGGGTGCCCGCACTCGTGGGCCGCCAGCGCCACGTGACACGCAGTCACAGCCGAGCCGCATGAGACACAAAGCGGGCGACTGAGGTCCACACCGGCCCGGGCGAACAAAGCCTGGAGTTGCTCCTTGGGCCGGAAGTGACCTGATGGGGACAGGAAGGAGTGGAAGGGCAGGCTGATGGAGCCGGGGATGTGTCCGGGCTCCGTGTCTGTCAATTAGAGAGAGAGAGAGAGAGAAAGAAACCAGTTAGAAATGTTGAGAGGGTATTTTTTATAATTAAGGTCACTTAGCTGCCAATTATTTAGAAAGTTATTAGTGTAAGGCAGGACAAAGAGAATCATAAGGTCTTTGACGTGCAGTTTGTGATTTTTAGATAAAACTTGATATAGCCAGGAAAGAGTCTCACTGAAATTACAGTTTGTTTGTTTGTTTGTTTGTTTTTGCAACTGCTAACTCACATTTCTCTATGCTTTTTCAAAACTCTCCATACATTCACATTGTGGACTAATCTGCAGATCACTCTTCATTACTATTACATAGAAAATGCACACAATTGCCACATCTTTCAAAAATTCACAAACTGTTTTCTCACTCAAACTCAACCACGTCCAAACTTCTGTGTATTTACAGTCCATTTTTCTACATTTACACACTTAGAATTTACATTCTAAACCCAAAATAACAAAATTACTGTAAAGTAGACTGATTTGCTGCATTCTGCTGCATCTATATCTAAAAAGGAAAAAGAATAAAATGCATAAACCCCTAAATGGGACTGAGCAGCTGTTTTCAGTCCCTGACGACCTCTATGAAAGACTTGTGCCAGATGAGTAAAGGGGGCAGGTAAGGCAGAATCCACAGGGTTTTGTGAATGAATGGGGCGATTCACCACAACACATGAATTCATTTCCTCACTGAAGTAGAAGGTTTATGATCAGAAATCCCTCTTAGACACAACGAATGCTGAATGTCTGGACTTTTATGCAGAAGCTCAGGCATGCAAAAATATTCTTTCCTAGGTGTATTGCAAGAAAGGGTGAGATGTAGATAATGACATATGAATGTTTTGTGTTTTGGTTGCATTAATGCATTTTGAATGTGAGATTAACTGTTGAGCTAAGCTGCATGCTGGTAAAGAAAACAGTGCAAAGGTTTTTACAGAAGTGTTCTGGTCAAGATAGCAGCACCACACCCCAGCATCGCTCATAGTTTCTCTCTCGCACTGTCTCCTAAAATAGATTGATTATTATCCTACTTCCCATTTTAATCTGACAGTGAACTCATGCATTGAAACACAACTTGCAGCTGCGAGCGCTGCATGTACCAGAGAGTGTAAGAGGTCGGAGGGCATAAGAAGTGTTACATCATTCCAGCTGCAGCTCATACTCAGTCCGAGTGAACCTGTAGAAAGGGATAAGACTATGTTGAATATAAACAGAGAAAGCATGTGTTTCTGAAGTTGCAGTGCGTTGAGCTTTCAGGCCCACCGTGAGACTTACTGGGACAGACAGCACATCTGGCAAGTGCTCTTAATGTATTACTCTGTCATATGTTGACTATACTCTACCTTCAGTGAGTAGGGCTGAGCCTCATTTGAAATGTAGCGTGAGTTTTAGTACCAACACTAAAATAGTTTTTTAGTACTTTACTTTACAAAAACTTTTTATTTAACAAAAGAAGACAAACAGAAAACATTTCTATTCAGTGGCAACAGTCAGTCTGCCAGAGGTCAAAGTTCACTGCTGACGCTGTGTTCACATGTGGACGGGCACTGTACCAGCACATCAAAGCTTTTCACTAGGTGTGTTATTGTGTATGTATGTGCAGCATGTGGGTGTGTGTACGTGTGTGTGTGAGTGTGTGTGCGAAGTCTATGGATGATGAAGATAAGGCACGCATGTATTATAGGTGTCTTATCACTGCATACAGACGATTGTCTACACAAATCAGCATATCTAAGGCTCTAAATTCTACACCACTCAATCCCTGCTACTGTCCGTGTGTGTGTGTGTGAGTGTGAGTGTGTGTGAGAGAGCATATGGGTCAGTGACTGTAGATTAAATGCATGGTTATGCAAGCATGTTCTGTCTGCTCGCTCTCCTTATGTTTGTGTTGTTCAGTGATTCAGGCCCAGCCCTTTGCCCGTGTGTTTGTCCAGAGTAAACTAGAAGCCATATACAAGGAAGTCATGTACTAAGTGGCTCATTATGGTTTTTCCATTGCATGCCAGTCCTGTACTGAGCTGTCAGCATACTGCATATATATATATATATACAACATACTGTCTATAAGAATGGCAATGGCAATCTTTTTGTTTCGATATTTTCATGGGCGATACAATAATTCCATTTCTGTCTCATTTGTTTGTTAAACCACCCGTCTTTCTTTGATGTGTGATATTTTAGACAACATCGATTTTAATAAATTTTAATAAAGGTTGACATCTAAATACTGTAATTAGATTTTTTATAATGACACTAAAGGAGGGGCCACAAGAGATGTAATAACTACAATAAATGAAAATGTAATTATCTCCTGTGGCTCCTTTCCATCAAGTTCCTGTTAAAATAAAGTGACTGGTCTAATGAATGATTTGATTTCTTTCTCTAATGTGAATTTATAGATATTTATTATATGGTGATATGATATATAGCTTGTTTTTAGAAACAAATATTGGACAGAAAATTAAAAGGCGACTTTTTCGATCATTTATTCTTCGTTTAAGTAATTTTTCAAGCCAAAATGTCAAAATGCCCTTTAAAAATACTTCTGGCTTGTTGTGATAATGTGCTTTTCTTTGTCTCATGTGAGAATAAACGAAACATCTTTGGGAATTTCCGAGTGCCGGTCGCACAAAATGAGCGATTTGATGACATTAACGTTTCGGATTTTAAAGGCTTTTTCAGTATATTCTGAAATTTTATAGATAAAAAAAACAATTACTCGTGATATTCATTCCAACCATTTTCCAGGTTGCTGTCAGGTTTCCTTTAAATCTAATCAACTTTCAGGAATTCAGCTGCAGTGGCGTTTGTGTGCATCGAAAACCAGCAGACTCACGTGTCACAACATCCACTGGGTTCACTTAAGCTCGGCCAGTTTTCTTCTCTGATTCACTGTATGATGACATCATCTCTGCTCTTATATCACTTCCTCTGATGTGATCAATGAATGAACAGTCTGATCAGTGAGCACATGTCACTGTTCTGCTGGAATGACAGAGATAAAGCTGCTTTACAAACAAAATGACTCCTTCTTTTCCTTCTACCTACCATCACATGACTGCATGACCTGACTCGGGGACGATCTTAAATGTTGTAACAGTAAGTACCACAACTGTATGAATCAGACATTCAACCATGACAGAATCCAGTGTCATGCTCTGACCGTTTCCCAGCACTGATGGGAGAAATAGACCTCATTTCTCTGGTTATCTTCGTCATTACCGTCATCCTCAGTGCTTATGTGTTTAAGGGCCTGTGCTAACTGCAGCAGAGGTGCCTCTTGTTACAGCCTACACATCAATGTGTCTCATCAGGCTGAGGGTCCCATATTTGCTTTTTTAAGTTTAGAGATAAGAAACTTAATTTTATTACACATTCACCTTCCATGTTTGGTTAAAGGTTCATGACCCATTGTCTTTACATGTTAGAACATCATTTTCTGTTTCTTAGATCTTTTTTAGTTCAATTTTTATTTGATTAATTTGTAGGGATCAAGACAGTTTTTGCAGGATAGGTCTTGATAAAGTGGAACATACAGAACTAAAATTGAGTTTAAGAGCTTGTATTTTTTTATTCTGATTTGATATCATAAGCCTATATACTATTATATATTATAGTTGAGTCGAGGTTACAAAAAACCTAAACAGAACATCAAGGACTTTATGGTAAACACTTACTGTCTCTGGGTTCAGGGTCCAGTCCTCTGAACCTGCCTGCCGGTCTAGCATCGACCACCTGGAACTTCTTGGTGTCCAGGTTATCCAGGATATCCTCATAGCTCTTGATCCAGGAGCGGTTCAGTGATGCCTTGAACTCGGTCGGTGCTGGTCCGACGTACTTGTCACTCACAGGTCGACCCTCCAGCTCCCAGTTCCTGAGCCCCCCGTTGAGCAGCGAGACCGCACTGTGCCCGAACACCCGGAACATCCACCACACTCGGGGCGCTGAGAACGCGCCGAACTCGCTGGCGTCGTACACCACCACGTGCGTGTCACTGCTTATTCCCAAATTTCCAACATAATCTGCGAAAATCTTCTGTGATGGCAGCATGTGGTCCAGAGGAGAGGTTTTATCACAGCACTGGCCTATGTCAAAGAAAGCAGCACCTGGTATGTGTCTTTTTTTGAACTCACTCTTGGCATTGCGCCGCAGTTTGGGCAAATACCAAGAGGTGTCCAAGATGCGCATTTTCCCCTGCACCTTCACAGCCTCCGCAAGCAATTTAGAGGTGACCAGAGCCCTCGCTTGAAGCGACATGGCTTATTCTGGAGAGACAGGCAGACCTCAAAGTTTACGCTGCTGTAGTTTAACTAGAGAGACCAAGTCCTGTGCCAAAGGTTGGAAACGGTAGAGAGAGCAAGGGCATTAATGGTGGAGAGAGGGAGCTAAGGAGAGCGACAAGCAACACGCCCCCAGTTCAGCCTGCAACAGCTGTATGTGAAGGGAGGCGGTGACAGTTTATAGTAATGCGATTATACCGAAACAATTACGTTTCGGTGGGTGTTTGAACTCATTTAGAAATAGACCTACAGGTGAACCCATCATGCCACATTTAACTTTACCGCAGACAGGAATTATTAGTCATTAGCCAACTAGTTTCAGTTTAACAAACAAAGGAGAATCCTCTCAGTGCATTCATTCTGCTGCCACATACAGTACCATGCAAACTTGTTTCACCTTGGTCGTGACACTGCAGGTCTGAAGCCTACTTTCAATTCAATTTTATTTGTATAGCGCCCAATTATAACATGCATCATCTCAAGGCACTTTACGTGAGTGTCATTATGTCTCTCTGAGGAGGTGGCCTAACTTCTTTTGTTTCATTTTCAAAGGGCGAGGGACGGAAAAACTATTGTAATTATTAAGGCTTTCCAGCTGGTTATACCTGCTCCAGACAATATCCACAATCATTCACTATTATAAATTCACTATTATAACCCACGGTTATTATTAGGCTAATAATAGTGTGAATATATTTTTGGAAAACTTTATCATCATCATCATGACCTTCTAAGTCGGTGACTTCCTCGGCCTATATTTTTTAAATAGCCGAACTGACAAAGTTTGCCCTACTATGCAGATGTTTTGCACTCCTTATGATGTAATCCATGTTTTTTAATCTAATAAAAAAAACTGTATCGTATTTTTTGAATTATTATTATTATTATTATTATTATTATTATTATTATGTGCCTGCAATACAATAGCTTTGAAGAGAGTATGAAAGCAACTCCAAGGTAAATCAACAAGGTGTATTTGCGTGTATTTGTGTACGCTTGTTGTTGTTTGATTCTTTGTGTGTGTGTGTGTGTGTGTACATGTCTTTCTATAATTGTGAGGACAAATTAGGTTTAAAAAACATTTTTGCGAGGTCATTTTGGCCGGTCCTGACAACTTCACAGGGCTGTTTGAAGGTTAGGCTTTGGCAGTTTCTAACACCACGCACACACATACATTGACGGACACACAAACACCATCTCCACCGTATAGATATTAATTGTTAAAGTGTCTCGACCTGGTAACACAAGCTTTTTGGAGGGTCTGTGTTAGACAGCTCTGCTGCCACACACAACAATACACACACGCACATTGACAGACACACACAATCAGCTGCTGCCTAAACTTTCACACAACTGACTGTGATGGGCTAATTAGACTGATTAACTCAGGGCATTTTTTTTTTTACTGTTGTGCACGTTGTTCTGTTCTAGCAAGATAAATCACAGCAGCTTTATTGCAGATCATCTTCTGTTAGGTAAACTTTCACACAACTGACTGTGATGGGCTAATTAGACTGATTAACTCAGGGCATTTTTTTTTTTACTGTTGTGCACGTTGTTCTGTTCTAGCAAGAGAAATCACAGCAGCTTTATTGCAGATCATCTTCTGTTAGGGCATGTACATGTGTGTATACATGTCTTGCTTTTCTTGGTTGTGGGGAGAAATTTAGGTTCAAACCATCATTGTGAGGTCACTTTGGCCAGAGTTTCAAAGAGCTTTTTGAGGGATACCAGCAGTGACTGAGGTCAGAGTTAGGATAATTCTCTACAACATGAATGAAACTCAAAGTAAAGTAAGTCCTCTGTAGAGATTGAAACGTGTGTGATGGACACGCACCAAGCAGCAGGCATATTCAACATTTCTTGAAGAATTTTTTCTAGTTATAATTCTTCTCTATAATTATAATTCTGGTTCTTCTTCTTCTTCTTCTTCTTCTTCTTCTTCTTCTTCTTCTTATTATTATTATTATTATTATTATTATTATTATTATTATTATCATTATTATCATTATTATTATTGGTAGTAGTAGTAACAGCAGTGACAGCCGTTAAAAAGCAGTCGGCTCAGCGGTTAACGGCTAATAATAGCTAGGTAGGAACTTTTCTTCGACTGTTGTCCAGCCGGCTGCTTTCAATCGGTGCACACACGAGGAGCTCACCGGATGTTGATGCACTCACATGTTGCTGTTCGGCTGTTAAGGCCGCTTCTCATCGATGTAGCTTGTGGATAATTAGAAAAAAAACTTCTCATTATTAAATCAGGATGTCAGCGTCGTTGCTCAGAAGAGGACTGGAGCTGCTTAGCGACGATATTAAAGGTCAGTTTAGCCTCTTAGCTTGCTAGCTAAGTAACGTTAGCATTGGATGTAAGTGCTCTCTGACCACTGTTCGTGACTCGTGTGGTTACATCGTTACACTTTGGTTCTAACTGTCTTAAAATAGGAAACTGGTGACCTGATGCTCATTTTGCTTTAAATTATTATCAGAATTACACTCAAAAAGTTTAAGTGCATTGGCTAACAGTTAACCAGTCACATAGTGGAATATATTGTCCTGTTTAAATTAGGTTTTCTGCCTTTCTCTATGTACTTTGCACCCTGCCAGATGTCAGTAAAGGGAAGAAGAAGAAGCAGCAGCAGACCCCCAGCTCAGCCACTGTGATGGAGCTGGTGAGCACCAAGCGGCAGGGAGTCACCAAGCAGGTCAAACGGCTGCAGGGTCGCCTGGGTCCGGGCAAGAGCAAAGCCACTGTCAAAGACAAGAGGATCAAGTCTGCAGTGGGTCAGTCTACTCGTAGTCCTGCACAGCATTAGAGTTTAGAGGGAAATACACCCAAAAGTAGAATTCACAAACGTAATAAGCCGATTATAACTCATGTTTAAGGTGGATTTTGCGCTTAATGGATGACACATGCTGTATTAAAACACCATAAAGCTGATTATCGTTTTCTAGATTGTAGAATACAGGTGGCTCTGTGTGTGTTCTTGCTCTCTCTTTGCAGGTGTACATCAAAACCACAAGGTGGCTGTATTATAAAGCTAACAATCTTGCAGTGGCTGAGCAGCACATCCCTTTTAAAATAATAGTATAGTAAAGAAAACATTGCCATAAGACTAACTTTATCTGACAGTATTCATAGTTGGTGTGATTGGAGTACTAGTGTACCTCTGGTGTTTGTTTTTAACGTATTACAGCATCTGTTGTACCTTCTTGCACTAAACTTCCTCATCTCCTTTGGTGTTTATTGTAGAGGAGTTCAGGAAGAAGCAAGGGAAGAGCCAGATGAGTGCAAACCTCAAATACTTTATGGCTACAGGCTACAAAGCAACAGATTCTGACACTTCAAAGGTAAGAAAGGTGTCTCTGGCTTTTTAAGTAGTGTCGTTTTAAATCAGAAATTGTCAATTGGTCAAAAGTCTTTTACTAAAAAAACCATGATTGTTTTACTTTACTATATTTTTTCTGCTCTTCTTCACTGTCACTTTGTTAATTTGAGTTTGTTGACCTGCTCCTTTTCTCACCTAGATCCTGAATCACAATTTAGGGAGACAGTCGAGGAATCGCCCTGAACTACTTGCCAAGAAGCCCAAGGAGCCGAAGTCGTTGTTCACAGAGGAGGAGTTCCAGCAGTTCCAGAAGGAATACTTTGGCAGGACTGTGGAGGAGAAGAAATAAAGTGCACGCACAAAAACAAAGACACTGCAGCATCAGAGGAAACACCATGGCTGCCTTTTGTGGCTCAAAGTGGATTTCTGGACCAGGTTGTGTTCTGGAGGTTGGTTTCACTTCACGTCTGAATGGAACAATAAACTTTGAGGAGAAATGCTCCTATAGGCTGAATCTATGCTGGTTGTAGGACTTTGAACACACACATAGGGAATATTGGATTTACCTACCTGGGTGATAAAATGCTGTAATTCAAAACTTAAATTAGATTTCTCAAGAAAAGATACAGACATATGCAAAGTTCATTGAATTTGTTCAGTTTCTTCTCCATAATTGTAATAAATACAGATATAAAGATTATTTTTCTTATTGTTAAAATGGTCTCCTCCAGTCACAATTCCAATCAGCACAGTCTATTTACCGGTAATTGTTTTTTTTTTTTTATCTTTATGTTGACATTTAAAAACACTGTATTTTTGTAAATTCAATTCTTCTGTTACTCACATCTTCATTCTGGTTGTAGTAGCAATAAACTAACTTACAAAAAGGGTTTTTGAAAATGGTTGACTTTGTATGAGTTTAGCTATGGCCACGACTCAACAGGCTATTTCCAGAAAAACACTGTACACGAAGAATCTGGATGAAGTTTCAGTGGTTGAAGTTAAAATGTTTCAGCTCCCCCTCACTTCTGTTTGTCATGGCAATAACACAGTGTTGTGTAGTGCAGCAGAAAATAGTAAATGAATGAACCTTAGATGCCTTTTCCCACAAATTCAAATTAATTTGTTATTTGTAACATGTAAGCTGGTGATCACATTATCTGTTCACTGTGTGTCTGTGTGCATGATGTATGTATATCAGCTTTGTTGACTTTGGAAAATATTTTTCATTCAGCAGAACCTGCTAGAGGCGTGTTAATAACAAGAATGCAGATGCTTGACTAACCGAAAGTGAATACCAGTTATGTCATAAGATGTTGATGGCTTTTGCATCTAACTGGTTCAGGTTTTAAGATCAGCATTCACACTTCGATTGTGAGCATCAGTGTGAGTGCAGCAAAGGAGAGAGACTGCAGGGTTACACGATGTCACGGGTAAGAAATTACATATTGTCATATATGTCACTTGCTTTTTCAGAGATTATGAAAGTAGCATGTGTAATACTGCTTATCTTTTTGGAGCCATGTTTATCTATATGGTCCCTGTTTCTGCTTACAGTATAAAATGTGCAAGATATTTTTGGTGTGTTCTGAGATTTGATCAAAACTTAAAAATTAAAAAGTCAACAGCAACATCTCTTTCCAGAAACAATGCCCCTGGTTGCTTATTCATTCAAAACAAGCCATTGAAATCAGGGTGGTGCGGTGGTTAGCGCAGTCGCAGCAAGAGAGTTCTGGGTTCGAACCCCGGTTGGTGCCTTTCTGTGGGAGTTTGCATGTTCTCCCTGTGCCTGCGTGGATTCTCTCTGGGTACTCCGGCTTCATCCCACAGTCCAAAAACATGCACATTAGGTCAATTGGCAACTCTGAAAAGTGCCCATAGGTGTGAATGAGAGTCTGAGTGCTTGATTGTCTCTATATGTCTGCCCTGCGATAGACTGGTGACCTGTCCTGGGTGTACGCCGCCCTCGCCCAATGTCAGCCGGGAATGCCTCCAGGTCTCCCTGCGACCCTATAAGGAAAAGTGGTATAGATGATGGATGGAAGCCACTGAAATCACAGTCCTATCCCTACCCATCCTACTATACACACTGATGTGCTTGGATATTGAATGTTTTTGACTATGTTGCTTTAGCACATTAATTGAATGGTTTCCGTTGCTGTCGTTTAATTTCTAATGTTATTTCTACTGTCTAGTTATTGTGCAGAGTGAAAGTGAAACGAGATGTGAGTGTGCAAAGATGTGATCCGGCTTGTCCGACATGCTTGGCAAGATAACCTGAAATCAACCTCAGCGGACTGATTACCATGATAGATACTGTAATATGGATGACTTCTCAGATTAGGAATGCAGATTAATAATGTTTTGTCTGGGTCATATTTGTGCTTCCCTAAAAACACTACAGTGAATTTGATAAGAATCTACAAAGTAGTTGTTTTGAAACTTTTTTCTGATACAAAGTCAGGCTGGGAACTGGACTCCAGTCTGGACTAAGTTTAATTACATAATGTATAGGCTTATCTGGGAAAATACTCATTACAGTTGTAAACTGCAGTTTTATAATCTGGATAAATGTCAAAAAAGGGGAATTATGAATATGGAATAATGTCCTCTGATTGGTTAAACATTTTATAATATATGTTATGGAATGTGTCATCAGATACTGCAACAGCTTCAGTGTGTGTAGATGAATTATGCCTCTTCTTTTTCAGGATTCAAAGAGACCAGTTCCAATGCCAAGGAACAAACTTAACCTTCAGGACAAAGCTGAAGACGATGAGGCATCCACTCCTCAGTCTCCCACAAGATATATAAAGGTTGGTGCTCAGTAATCTATACTCCGCAGAGAGATCAAACCCGCAAGTCAACTCTAACTGTCATGTATAGGCACATTTGTAAATCAGGATTCAACAAACTATATGGTTGAATTCTAATGATTTCTTTTTATCCGATACTTCTGGATGGAATAAAATTATATCTGAAATTTGATTTCTTTAAATTTTACAAAGATTTACTAATTAAGATTCTAACTAAAAAAAATATTGCATAAATAACACATTTTCTATGGTCCTGGCACATACATGTATCTTCATTACAATACTTATAGTGCATTTTTTTTAAAAATTCCATGCAGTACATCACAGTTACAAACCGACATTTACAGATGTAGAGATTCAAATTGAGCAATGAAGTGTGTCTTTTACATTTCAACAGTCAGCTACTGTGACTGATGACGTATTTTGTTTTTCACTCAGGGAGGTTCAGTGTCCTCAACTCCTCCACCAGTGTTGCCAAAGAAGTGGACTGTTAAAAAGAGTCCGGGAGGAAGTGAAACTGAAAATGGCGGCCCAAAAATAGTAAAGGTACTGTTGTTTTCTTTCAAAGCATGATGTGGGACAAAATGTGCTCACAAAGTAAAACAAGTAAAAGTTAATGAAACATCTTCACATCTGAATTTGCCAGAATGCGCAGTAGTGACCCAAAATCCTAAAGGTTCCCCCTTAATGAACGAGGAGAATTTTAGGGTATTTGGGGGAATCCCAATTTGGGGAATTCTTGTGGAAAGTTGGAGAAACTTTGTACTTAGTCATTCAGATATTGTAGCCAAAATCAGAAGACCATGAAATTCCATCCACAGTCAAAAAAAAAAAAAGTAAAAGAAAATAAGTACAAGATCAAATTTCTTCAAACTGGCTGGTCAAGGTAATGTAGAAAAACAACCTTTAATGTTTCTGTAGTGTTGTGTGAGCATAGCAGCTAGTTAGCTGGTAAAATACACAGCTACAAAATACTCTGAATTATGGATTATACTTCTAAATGTCCATTTTGGGAAAAACTTTTACTCTTCTGGAATAAAGAAAATAGTCTAATCTTCTTATTGATGTATGTTTAAAAAATATATTTAAATGGGTAAACAAATTACTCAAGTATATTATGCAATAAAATCTATTCAGATGTTATAAAAAGACTAAAATCCTTAATCACGTAATGGAATCATGCTCCACCAACGCCATCAAAAGTGAAGGCCCTGCATTTAGATTTAAAACTACACCAGAAAAAAAGGGGGAAAATGATCGAAGAACAAAGACCTGTAGATTTGTAATAATAAAAATCTTCTGAAGCTCATGAGATGAGGCAGAAACGTCACATAAGGCATGAAAAGAATGAAAATAATCCATCAGACTGCCTCTATCAGATAACTGATATGGGAAGAAAAAAAAGATCACACAGATCTAAAAACATGTTTTTGTCCTTTCACTTGGTATGCCTGGATTGTCATTTATTCTCAGGTGATTGCTGATCAATCAAATACGAATATCCATCAAGCAAAACAATTTCGGCTGCCTCCCATACTTCCAAGACGAGACCCTGACGATAAAGATGAAATCTTGGTAACTTTTCTTTTACAACAATTACTTCACTAAAACATTGTCCAGGAATACGTCGTCTTTTTAGCTGCATTGTTAATAAATGACTTCTCATCTTCTAACAGGATTCCTGCTCTCTGATGGTATGGTGGAAGGAAAAGAAATGTGAGTAAGAGAACCAGTTTGAAAATATTAATGTTCCCAGTGAGCGTGGCATCTTTATGTTGCTAAAGTACAGTTTTATTGACTTGCAGCCTGGGAGTCCCTGTGCGACGACATCAGCTCTCCAAGGAAGTAAGCTTACCTCTTCAAAACACCAGATTACACCTTTTCTGTTTCTATCCTTGAGATATAGCAGTGCATTGAGCTAAATGCTAACATCATAAATGCTAACATGTTCAAACATGTAACATGTAGCAGAAATAATGTTTGCCATGTTCATCATCTCTGTATAGCGTGTTAGCATGCTAATATATTGTAATTGGCACTTAATGCAAAGTGCCACTGAGGCTGATGGGAACATTATTAGCTTTGCAGGTATTTTGGTTATAAAGTCAAAGTTAAGGGGTTTCCAAGGTGATCACAATTCATCCTGAAGGTAACATGAGTGTGTGTATCAAATTTCATGAAAATCCAACCAATCAACCAAGCCATCCCAAGAGCCTCTCTGCTAGCATGGCCAAAACAAACATCAGCTGTGAACTGCTCTCTCAAACCTTCACACTTATTGGTCTTCTCAGGTCAAAATTTTATACATGAATAGTCATTTAAAAGCCTCAATACTATCACTGTCTATACACAAACTCAGTCTGCCTTTAGATTAAACTGAATGGGTTCCTCTAATTAAAGCTCAGTTGTAATGATCCGATACAATGTTCTTATAATACTTCTCAGGATCATCAAAGTTAAAGCTGAACACCTCTATAAAGCTATCAAGACTTACATCCTTCTGCTGACTGAACACGGTGCCACCCTGAAGGAGTACACTTCGGAGCTGCACTGCACCGCTGACAACTTAAACAAGGTAACAAGACTGATTAAATTACTTCTGATTAACTGCACCAGTTAATTTTAGGTATGTTTGAGACACAATTCAGTTGAAGTATATCAAATAAATTCCCTTTTCACTCTAAAGTATTCAAAAGGGACAAAGATCGCTGCTATTACCGGAGGAACTACAACTGTACTGGGAGGTGTGGCAGCAGCAGCCGGAGTGATACTATCTCCTGTGACACTAGGAGCCTCACTGGCCCTGACTGCAGTTGGCGTGGGCGTGGCTGCAGTCGGTGGCGTCACTGGTGCAACAGCAGCCATCACCGACAAGGTGACAACAACAAGGTTATTTATAGTTTGTGGTGTGGATTTTCTTTTTGAAATAATTGCTCTGCACCCATCTATTTGAACTTGATCATACAGCCTCATGCTCATTCTCTGCAACTGCATTCCTCTAAGGAATGTTGTCTTGTATTGTCATTGCTGCACACAAAGCAATCTCAGTCCAGACTGCACTGGTCTGTGGTTCCCTGATGGTGGAACAAGCTACTAAATGCTATCAGAGCAGGGGCGTCCCTACTCTATCTTCAAGAATCTCTTGAAGACTGAACTCTTCCAAGAGCGCCTCGTCTCCTAACACTTCTAACACCCTAACCTGCCTAACTAATACTCACTATGCATTTTCAGTGCACTTCCTTACTTGATCTCTGCGCACTTATTAAATAGATGTAGTACTTAGTACTTACGCTAAAGTTTCCTACTGCACTGAAGCTTTAGTGATGTCCCTAACTGGTAAATTGCTTTGAATAAAAGCATCTGCCAGATGAGTAATTGATTTAAAGCCACTAAGTGTCAAACTTTCTCTACTTTAACGCCCCCTAATGGTAGTATTAAAAAAACACACACTGGCAAACAGCAGGCCGTAGGATAAATATGCTCAGTTAATTTCCTTCAAACACAATTTCATGCGATTAGAATAATGAAAAGGTGCCATAAGCAAACACAAAGAATAAACACAAAGTAGTTCTAACTTTTTTAAAAAACTTTTTTAATTAACACATCATGTGTTTAAAGCTGCTGAGTAACAGATTATGAATTCTGTTCTAACAGGTGAGCACCTCTCTCGACAAGAAGAAAATCAAAAAGACACTCCAAGATTACAGGGACCTCATGACGGACATTATCAACTCCTTGAAGTTTGTCAATAAGGGCATGGAGCAGCTAAAGCAGCACGATCTGTCCCTTCTCTGTAGAGCCAGGGGGGATTCCACGAGGGTAGCCAGCATGGTAGACCTTTCTACTACAGGAGGGGCAAGTGCTGGGGCCTTAGAGGCTAACAGTAAGGCATTTGGGATGATTGAAGGCTTTGCCCTTGCCATGGATTCCTACTACACCCAAGGAAAAGATGGGGAGAAGATGAAAAAGGGCCTTGAGTCGAAGCTTGCAACTAAAATCTGCACGCTAGCAGAAGGGCTCAATAATGGATTAGATGAGCTAATCCAAATAAAGGACTTGTTCAGTAAGCATTGTCAAGAGGTGTGAATGTTTTTGAACTGGTAGACAGTCCCCTGCCTGCTTTGTGTATGGGTTACGGTTTGATGTGATTTTTGCTTGATTTTTCCAAGGAAAAAAAAAATGATGAAAAAATGGTGAAAATGATTAATTAATGATTAATGATTAATTTTTGTTAATTTTGTTTACGTGTTTATTTTAAAGACATGTAATATACTTTACAGCCTACCTTTTTTTCCAGCTTTACTGCTTGTAGCTTCAGACTGTTTACTTTGACTAGATATAACTGAGATTGTGTGTATCTCTGTGGCTTTTAAATATTTGTTCCTCTTTGTCACTTTGCATGATGCTCTTGCTAAGAATTTTTTCTTAAACTAATCAGTAGTAAAGTATCATATATACACACACTAGCCTCAATGTTATGTTCATCATTTGTTCATGTGTATACAAGGAAATGTGTGCAAGATTGTAAAAAATAAAACTTTTAATAGCTGAAGATAACCACCAGAGGGCAGTCCAGTTCTTGGCCCTGTGAGCTATAGCCGGGTTCATTAAGTTTATCCACCAGCTGCAATGAATTCACAAGAGACTGCATGTTGCTTAGGCTATACGCAGACAGATCAACAAGTAATATAGCGCTATGGTGCAGGGACAGCGCCCACAAAACGAGAAAGACTGGAAATACAGTGTACCTGACAAATCTGATTATGATTTCCTTACTACTGAAGGTTGTTTGTTAGGAACTCCATTGTCCGCAATGTGGAAACTTACTTTTGCCTCACTACACAGCATTAAAAACAAAGATGAGTTCCAGACAACAACGTGATTATATGACATGATTAAAAATTACATTTTGATAAACAATTGTAAAAAAAAAAAAATAGAATTAGGGTCAGGATGCAGGATAAGGTAGGCCTAAAAATCAACACGGATTAAAATAATTGTTTTGTTTTTTTAAGTATGTGAGTTGTGTATTACGTAATATATGTTTGAAGTTGGTATTTGCCTTCGACAGGCGCATAAAAGACCCGCAATAGTGTTCCCTTACTCAATGTTTACATTTTGCATTTGACCTATATTTGACGTAGGGAGGAAGTCGTGCTTAAAGCTCCATATGGATCTATCTTGTCAACTGTCGGGTGTAGATATGCATCTAGCCAATCAAAAACAAGACTCGAGCGGAGTAATCGCAGCGGTATGCGCGTTTGGCTACTACTACTACTACTGCTTGGCTGAAATGGGCGTTCATTATTGTTTGGAAATCCATTCTTTGAAACGGAAACTCCTCTCACTCGCGCTGCTACTTACGCCGCAAGCAAACGCCCCCGTGGAGTGACACAGCGGAGGGATACACTCGGTGGTTCTTCGGCTCTGTATATACCAGTGTGACTCCCTCCGCTCGTTCTTCGTTTCCACAACATATCAAGTGATTATCAGCTCTCAGTAGTAGCTATCACGCGCTAAAATGGCATTGTGAAGGCGTGCGGCGGCGATCCTTGCAGTGGCAACAACCTGGCAGTGCAACGGCTAAGTGCACTGGCTATTTCTGGCAAAATGGCGTAAGTATTTTTGCCGATATTTTCCATACCCGTTCATGTCTGATTACTGTCGGCGTAAATGTAAGCTCGACCGGCTAGTGTTGATGAAGTTAACATACCTGTTGAGTAACGGTTAGGCGCGCTGAAAAAACGGTTTATTCTTGAAAACTATGGGCGAATCTAAAAGTCGATCCCGTGATGAGGGTTTACAGTTGGTGTGTCAGTGTCGAATTACAGTGTCAGCTGAGGTAGTCCCAGCCGGCCGACAGCCTGTGTTGTGAGCCGTTTTTGTTTTTAATCATCGAGGCCTATTAGAGGCTGTTACAGTTGTGAGAGAAACGTTTTGTAGGCAGCTCGGTTAAAGTTGACGTGTATTTCACAACAACAGTCAGGCTGTTAAATGTTTTTCAACATTGGTTGTGTTTGTGTATATTAAACTCTGACAACGTGGCGTGTCCAAAATGGCGCGCACCGTCCTTCCCACTCAGCCCTGGGACAGATGGCTCTGTTGTGAAAATGGCGGTTGCCCTCCCACATCTCCTCTGAGGAGGGCGGAGTTACCAACCAAAGCATGACCAAATTAGGAAATGTTATCCCCCGGTGGAGGGCGGGTGTTAACCATCAACGGCGCTGTGACACTTCAGTGGAACGGATTAGCCAAAATTAGCCTCCCCTCCCCCATATGAGAGGCGTCGAAAGCCTTCACAGCGCAAGCGCACACCAACAAGAAAGTTGTACTGTTTGCATGAGGGTTGTTATAATCTGGAATTGTGTTGTTGTTTCAACAAATGTGTATATACACTATGGGGATCTTGCATGCACACATAAGGTTGACCCACTCAAAGTGTTGTCAACCACGTGGCATAATAGTACTTTGGTCCCAGCTCTTTATTTGCGATTAAAGCTTGTTTTTTGTGGTGTTTTCCTTTTTAGCTGTGGACATTCAGCTCCCAAAATGTTTCCACCAATGTTTAACCTCTTAATAAAGTAACTCTCAAACTGAGTTGTATCCCTCATTCTCTCCCCATGACATTGTTTGCATGTCTGTTATCTCCTTCATCCAGGTCTCTCTCGGCAACCACCCTCAGCTTTGCTGCCGTCGACAGCAGTACCGAACCCCTCGACTTGCTAACGTCATCGGATTCGCCTTTGTTTTTATTCACCCGTTCACGGCTACCACTGACCAGCAGCAGCCATGACACTTTCCCAGCTGGCCTTGGGGGACGTGGAGGCCCTGTACTTAGGTTGGTGTTGTGATGACAGATGTTTCCAAAGCACTACCACAAACATTAGTGAATACAGGGAATGCACAGTATGAATAAGAAACTGCAAAGTTTGGCTTCATGGACTTTAAGTATGGCTTTAGATGCCTATACTTAGCAGAGATGTGATCTGAAAAAGGTTTTTGGTTATTCAGTCTTGCATAAATAGAATAATTGTGTATTTTGTTCATAAAGTTAGATACTTATTGAGGAAGTCCTTGTCCACAGGGCCCTCGTTTCTGATGGCTGACCCCATGGGGCCCCTTCTGGACCAAGATGAAGAAGAAGCTCTTTCTCCCTCCTCCTCTCTAGAGGGGAAGGCGCCAGCTTCGCCCCCCCTCTCTTTATCTTCCTACGTATCCTCCCTGTCTCCCTTTCAGACCTTGTCATCCTCCCCACTCTCTTCTGCCTCCCCACCTCCCTCTCCTCCTCCCACACATCCCTCCTTGTTTCTGGGAACCAAGGCTGGAGCGGACTCGCTGTCCCTCCCCTGGCTGGGTGCCAGCGATCTGCTCGATGCCCACGTTGGAGCAGATGATGGCAAAGGTGAGAGTGACTTTAAATTTTAATTTCTTACATATATGAAGAAGATAATTCTTAACAAATGTCTCAGAAAGGAACAAAAGATTGGAAGCACAGTTGAGTTGAATTACAAAATCTATGAAAAGATGAAGAAGGGAAATCGGTGACTGAAAGAAAAGTGACTAAATAAAATTACAGGTTAAGTAAGAAGCACATTCTTGGCATCAATCAGTTGTTCAATGAAAGAAATTGAGGGCTAGAAATGTTTCCACTGTTAGAGGTGATTGTGAAGTTGGGAATGTTAATTGCTCTAAGGCTCCCAGTAAATGTTTCATATGGGCGGTTTTGTGTCAGTAAAGCATTTAAGGCTGCCCTGCAGGCAGCATGTCCTAGATGCTAGAATTCTGTAGTATTTGGTCACAAGACAATTCCACATTACATTTCTACAGTAAAAATGGAAGTTGCCAAAAACATTTAGGACTAAAGTGTTAGTGAACATGCAAACCAAAATGTGCAAAGTCTTTGTTAAGACACTCTACACTCATCCAGCACCAAAATGAAACATGTGAGTCAGTAAGTGGTAGGTGTGGTGGCCAGTGAGGAACATTTATTGGTATGCAGCCCAGGTGTGGCTCTAAGTGTGTATTTTAGCATTTTTTCACAACGTCTATCCTCATTCATGTGCATAGAATTCATTGCAGGTCTTGGCATCAGTTGAAAGAGTTCCTACTGTACTGAATGCACTATCAAGTGTTTATGCGTCACAAACCTTACTAATACAGGGTAGGATTTAGAAAGATTAAGTTGTACTTGGCGTCATTATTCAATAAATATTATTAAGACACTGAGTATGACGTTAAAAACATGCTTTTGTATTCACTGGCAATCTGATTACCATAAAGCACCTGAAGTTATTCTTTGTATTTGTATCCCAGTTGCTATTTCATTGTGATGTTGATAAAATATTAATAAGTAAATCCTTTGTCAGCAGATGATGCCTTCACGGGCATGGATTGGATGTCAGAGAAAATTGACCTGAGTGAATTTGACTTGGATTCCCTCATTGGCTCCTGCTCATCTGACGATTCTCCCAGCTCCCCCGAGGATCTCCTGGCCTCGCTTGACTCCCACATGGATCTGGATCTAGAGTCCTTCGAAACAACCATCCCCACCTCACCTGACAGCCTGGAGCTGGGTCTGTCACTGGCCGGTATCCCCTCCCTCCCTCTGGATCTCCCTCCTCCTGGGGCAGCTGAGGCCAAGAAGACAGAGATGGTTCCTGATCAGGAGGTTGATATGAAGTCTGAGCCTCCCTCCCCAGTTCCCTCTCTGTCTCCCCCCTCTCCTCAAGCCTACACATTGGAGCTAGGAAGTGAAGTGGATGTGCTGGATGCAGAGAAAACGGCTGCATCTCTCACCACCACTACCATCATCCCAGAACCCAGTGGAAACATTCAGACAACTACCCCCATCGTGCTGTCCATTCCCACATCTCACATTGTAGTAGTGCTCACCAACAAAGACGAGCCTTCCCTCGTATCTCTTGCGGACCCGTCCATTAAAACCTCTCCTCGATCAAGCGACTGCGAAGACGACTCTGGAATCGAGTCAGTTGCTGGCTCACCGGCTCGCCTCCCATCTCCTCCTCCCACCCCCTCCCATACAGCTGGTTCCTCCAGGACCAAACCCTACTCCAAGCCGGAGCCCTCTACCGCTTCCTCCCCCTCGGCCAAGGTCCCCAGGGTCAAATCGGTGTCTGGTGCTCCCAAGGTGGTGGAGAAGAAACTGAAGAAGATGGAGCAGAACAAGACGGCAGCCACTCGCTACCGGCAGAAGAAGAGGGTCGAGCAGGAGCTGCTGAACTCAGAGTGCGAAGAGCTGGAGAAGAAGAACAATGAGTTGGCAGAGAAGGCAGAGTCCATCAGCCGAGAGATCCAGTATCTCAAGGACCTGATGGAGGAAGTTCGTAAGCACCGCCGCGGCAAGACCAACTCAGTGGCTTAAACACCAGGATGCTTATGTGGTACAGTCTCGCTGTTGCAGAGTAGTGATGGGGTTGTGTTTCTGCTCCAGTGCTCACATGCT